TTGTCGAAAAAAATTTTTTTCGAATTCGACCTTTTTTACTTCTGCTAATATCTGACACATAATAAGACCATATTATGCTAAAATAATCATTTTCTAACTCAAAAAATCAGATGTCCGCCTGCTCTATGGGAAAATGCCCACTGTGCCATCCGCGCAAAGAGATTCAGATAAGTGTTGTGGTCTACAATACACCGGAATACACCAAGCCCAGCAAGCCCAGAGAATACACTGCGTACTGATATTCTGACATCTCTGCCGAATCCTATAATTTTGCTGGGAAAGTAAAAGTCATTTTTCTCGGTTCCGCATCAGCTGTCAAACCAGAAAAGACAGTTCTCTTTTATTGTATATGTAGGATTATACTAGGCGTCCTACTACTATCAAAGTACTGCAGTTAACTGTTATGTTACAAACATTCTGTAGAAAATTTTAGGGTCTATCCAATGGTACATTTACTTTGTCGTCTATGTGGAAGAAACATGAGAAAAACATATTTGACGTAACCTATAGCTGATCTTTGAGGAATGAGTTGTTAACGAGAAACTGCTCGGATTTTGGTTACCAAAAGCACACAAGGTTACTTAAAATCGAATAACAATACTTTTCTACTACTCCAAAAATGTGATGCAAAAATCGACTTTCACAGATTTTTCAAGCTATTTTGACCCAATTTTTTTCATAATCAGCCGTTATATGTTTTTATTAGAACAAAGAACATACTTCTAAGCGATACAGAAAACTGCACGTAAGGATATACCGTTCGACTTCATATTCTCTTCATATTCTCTTATTTTTTAAGGTATATAGAAAAATGTTCAATATGTTTTTTGTAGAGAATTAAATGACGTATCTTCTAAAAAAGAGATTAAAATTTTACCATAATTCTGAACTGAGATATATGCAAAATAAAGAATGTTGCAATCATTTTGGCGCACCCTGGTATTTATTCTCTTAAAATTATTTTCTCGGAAAATGTTAGTGAAGCACAACTAGTGTTGTTAACATATTTCTTGATAGGATATAGTGAGCGTAAGATCTTACAGCGGCTCCATATAGAATATTCAATGCACCTTGCGCAGTTTTACTAGAGGATAGATCACTGTGACTACTTCTATTTTTAATTGTCATTCTGATTGTTACTGGTAATGTACGACATCGTAGACTTACACTTCTTGCTATACAATGGCAAGCCGATTTAGCAGGGAATGTGAAGAAGCTTATCTTTTAATAAATATAGTTTAAACCATTATCATCTTAAGGGAAGATGGTACCTGTTAATCCATTATTTATAATGCTATAACATGTTTGTGATAACGTTCGTTACATTAACGAGAAACGATGACGGTCACATTCCTAGCATTAACCGAGCTGCGAAACAAGCAAGAAACACTACTGTGTTTGAGTGTGATTAATGTAGATGTTAATCAAGCGAATAATACAAGGTATATTCGTTTTTTTATCAATAGATTTCGGAATTATGGTCTTTAAATATTGTTCTAAAGTGTACAACTTATACGTCATACTATCTGATAAAGACATATGGAAAGTTTACCTTGGATTTCATCAGATACGGCAATGACATGACGAAGAAACATTATGTTTTTCCGACTGTTTATAAAAATCACGCACGGATACATAGGTGGGAGAAGGGACAAAAATGTGCATGACTTTAGATGGTTAATTAGTTACCTGTATATAACGTGTGAAACGAACCGTTTTTTACACAACAATTTCAAATAAATAATTCATCAAGAGGAACAGAGGAAGGTAAAAGAGCGTAGAGATATCTGTGTTTCTTTAAACCAAGTCTTTAAGCAAACGATACCGTCTACAAATAAATGTCCAACCAACGTTTTTGGAATAGTCCAACACAACAACCAGCAACAAATATGAGTCCAACAACAGCCAGTCATTTTCATCGAATAAAGAGGCAAATGAGATTATTTGTAGAACAACAAGCAAGTATTGAACCAATTGATCATGCAAAAGGATCTATTCATAGTAGTCGGGAAAATCTGAACTTACCCCTTCCTAACCGACACCATCGTCATAACAAGCAACAACCACAATCAAAATCCCTTCAACATTTGGCACTTGCGACACCATCAATGGCCAGAAAAAGAAAGAAAAATCTGGTTGTAATGTTCTAAAACCTGTTAGCAATTATATTTCAAGTTTTGCAATATAAACTGTTCTATGTACATATAAGAACTTTATTGACGAATTACAAGGGCAAATTATTAACTTAGTAATGAAGAACCATAAGTAACTGTATTAATAATTATTTTGTTCAATTTACTTTAGTGGATCACTGCATAGCTCAAAGACGAGATTTCTTTCACACTACTTCTTCGAATTGGACCCGGTATTACTTTTTATTTCCTTACCGTAATAAAAGTAGTTCAACTGGTGGGAAGTAGATGTGAAAATTAATTTTTCTCGTCTTTATTTTATACCTAAACTAAAAAACTGTCATCGTTTTATTTTCTCGTTTCATTTTGCTCTATTATCGATATTGTGCAATGATAATGTGATAGTATTAAAACACATTTAAAAATACGTCTAAAAGAGTTTTTCACAATTAAATTTGATATCCTTACTTATGTATTTGTTGTTTTTGAAAATCACTAGAAAGGTCCAACGCGTTACAACTGTTTTTATTCTCCGTATCCGGTACACAGTGAGTATTTTTCTAATAGCAGGCAGACATCAGAATTTTTTGTTTGTAAACCATTTTTTCATGAATAATTATCATTGCTTAGTCATCTACGATTACAGCGTGAAAAATACACATTTACGGAGAATTTGATTTTCTATAAAATAAATTCGCATTCGCTGGCAATTCATTTCGGTATGCAACGGATGATAACAATACGTCTTGGTGTATATGATATGTTTGCGAATTCCCTATTACTTTCCGCAGGGCCGCATATAGAAGCAGAACATAAGCGGGGTGTAAAACAAAATCTCTCTTTGAGGTACCGTGAAACTAATAAAAAAAGTTTTTGTGCGAGGAACAATGGATAAGATAACAACAGCTTTTTCAATTATTCTGAGGTGCGCACCCTCCCACTTTTTCCGTTATTTGCGCCCCTGACTTTCCGACTTCAGATCAACATATAGATTTCTTATGATTTCTATTTATATGTACGCAAACAGTCAGATACTGATAGTCCCTGAATTTATGTATTTTTGATGTGTTTTCTATGTTAGCTATTTTCGAACAGTTTATTCAATAAATGCATATCTTTCTAAACATATAACTGGAGGTATCGAAGTCAGAAAATAATAGAAAACTCGTAACTTGTACGGATGTGTGCCGGGGCGAGGGGAGGAAGACGCAAATGTTCGACCTTGAAAGTTCCTGAAAAAAATATAAGTATTTTATTGATCCAAAACTTATGTTATATATGAAAACCAATTTTACTAGACATCCCTCTACGGAAACTTGATTGTTTCGGAAAACACCGTGATTTCTCCGCCAGTTTAGTACAAAAACGGAAAATTTCTTACGCCGAGACACGTACAAGAAACAGCCGAGATTCAGAATTTGTGTTATTTTTAATCATATCACGCTGAGATGTAAAAAAACTTTTAGTCGCATAACCCCGTATTTTCGGGCTAATTTTCAGCTACACACAGTAGGTTCTATAACTTTGTCCATACAACTATCCTAGGCACTTTCCATTCTTCACCCTCATTTTTCCAGAAATTCTCATTTTCACCCTCATTTTTCCAGATACTCTTACGTTAGGGAAGGTCGGTAAAGCCAAAAGCTTATTATAAAAGTTTTACCAAAAATCAAAACAACCTATACTCCGCATCAGCAAAATGTAACAGTTGGATGAGTATGTGCTCATGTTTGTTCAGCAAGTTTACTGTCATACAAACGTTTTTTGGGGTACGACAAAAGATCTTATGTAGATGGCACTATTTACGAAAGTTGACCATCGAGTAGAACAACAGTTTTGATCTGCCAAAGTGGTTCATAAACAACCTTTTAAATTTATGTTCTAAACAAAGAACATTTATCCACTTTCCTAGATGTACCATACGGAAAAGTGGATGGCATAATCACTGACTTTTCGGATGTCAGGTTTTCCAGTGTTTAGTGATATTAAGCTATAAAAGAACTAAAGGTATCCAAAATGAGGCGCCACTATCTATTAACTACTAATAGGTAGCATTTTTTGACTATTGTATTGTACGGATCATCTATTTCAGAATAATGCTTTGTCTATCTTCGATCTTTTTTGTTTCTCATAGTAAATCAGCCGGCGACACCACTTATCGATCTCGATATTTCCAGTTGCTTGGTAATGAAGTTAATAACACATATTTAATGGCAAAAAAGTTTGTTGTAATAATAAAGCATAGTTGACACTAAAAAAGAGTGAGAAAAACATTTTCTCCAGTGCTTTCAAGTTATAGGGAAGTTAAGGAAAAACGGAGATGTTCTTTTCTTCTAGAGATCTAGTAAAGTTCAGGATTAAGATGCTGGTAACGGTAAAGCTTTTGCTTTGAAGTCTTGCGCCACGTGCACATAACATCTTCCAGCAAAGTTATTTGATACCAAAACAGGCAACTACGATTTTGTACTGTAATTCAGGTTTACTATTCAATTTTATAACAATACTTTACTCTACGTACATCTTTATTTACACTGTTGTGTTCAACTTTTCCTACTTACACTCATCTTAGTCCTGAGATTTAGGAGAAATACTCCTCACTTAAAAAACGATTTAAATTAATTGAAATGAGTTCGTTATTTTTGATTGTTCTCTGTTACAGCCAAAGAAATTGACCAAGGGAAACTTCTTGCATAAACACAAGCAAGATTGCGCGAAACCTTCCTTTTGCTTAATACAAATCCGAAATTTATAGTCTAGTATAGAAGTGAGCGCAAACACTTGTACATGTTTTAGACTCAAATCCACAAATTAGTCAAAAATGGTTGAACAATTGAAATATATCGTGGAAAGTTTAAAAAAGGCACCATTCAAGAAGGATTATACTATCATTACATTTGACAATTTAACAAATAATCAATTATTACAAGTTCTCACCGACGTATTTGCAGCCATTGATCCTTATGATCAAAGTGTAACTATACTGATATGAATTTTTACTAAAACTAATTTGTTCATCATTTTTGTAGCATAAAATTGATATACGTGATGAGGACGCTGAAAAAACTGCCGTTCGTATAATGACTACATTGAAAATGTTGGGTTACAGACCTAAAATAGATACAGACGTGTAGGTTTTATTTATTATTTGATATATATTGTTTTAAAAATATTGTTTTCATTTGACAGGAGTACATTTCGTCAGAACTTAGTCAGTGGTGAAAAAAGTGTTGTTTATCCAGCATTATACTGGTTACTAGAAAAAATGCCCGAACACAAAGAACGTGCTTATTTAGGTATTATTGTAATATTTTTCTATTCAACAAAAGCAATAAATCGTTTAGATTTACTTAGGACGTTATTTATCGAAAATCGATATACCTGCTGAGTTTCTGAATGATCCAGAAATTGCAGAACAATATGAAAAAGTACGCATCAAACACTTACTTTTACCTTTTAAATTTATAATTCTATTTTTTATTTATTTAGTACGACGAATTAATGGAAATATTTAAAGACGTTCACAGATCCTACAAAGAGTTAATATCAACCCCGCATACAATTGATGATCTTCGACGAGATATTAAACAATTAGAAGATGAAAAAGGAGCGTTACTCAAGCGTTTAGATCGACAAAAAAATCGCGTGGGTAGAAAAATATTTGATATTTTAAGTTAATATAGTAGACTAGAGACCGAAACGGGTCAACCAAACGTGCCTCGACCCGAATGTGAGTTGGCCCGAACCCAACCCGACCCAAATCAATATCTTATACATTGGCCCGAACGGACCCGAAAATTTCGCAGCTGTGATCCGAACTAGACCCGAAACATGAAAATGTTTTCGTACACATTCGCAAAGCAACACTTCTTTCCTAAAGAAAAGTTATCTTAGTCAGATTGTTTTGATATTTTTTCCAAAAAATGGTCAGATTCCTTACGGTTTCTGTCAGTTTTTCCTTTTATGACTGGAAAGGTTTGGGTAATTCAGGCAGTTTATTTTATATTGACCTGAGTTAGACCGAAACAGATCAACCAAACGCCACCCGATCCGATCCAGATCAATATCTTTTACGTTGGCCCGGACTCAACCCGATCGGTTTCGGTCTCTGTAGTAGACTATTGTACTCTTGTTGATTGGTAATCGTAATATCAGAACATAAATTGTTCGAAAGTTGGGGAAAGTAGCTTGGACATTTTTTTTAGAAATAAGGCAATTAAGCTCATTAATCACTTTTTTTGGATATTATACTATAATATGTTGATGCAAAACTAATATACAAAAGTAGAACTATCTTAATAAAAACCGCAGATGTTAGATTATCATTTTGTACACATATTTCTTGTTATGATGGCATGGTCAGAATTGTGTACAATTTAAGAAAATGATTTGTGTAGATTATGTTCTGACTTAAAATGATCGATTTGTAAGATCATCTTTGTCGTTCATACATAGACGGTCGTTCAAAACTCATTTTGCTTAACTTTTAACTAAATTCAAAACTTATTTAATCTTTTGTAGGTTCAAAAAGTTCCCGCATCACAAATAGAATTAGCTAAAAATTATCGTAAAGAAGTTGAAAAAGAAGAAAAATTAAGTAAAATGAAACAAGATTTGAACACTGTTATACATCAACTTAATCAGAAAATAACAAGAGTTGAGAGACAAATAATGGAACAACGATCATCAAGTGTTGATCAATCTCCAGACGGTAAGATTTATCTTGCTACTGTAAAAATGGATGTATATTATAAATTTTTAATCACTCTTTTACACATCTGAGCGATTGTTTAACATATTTTATTTACATAAATTAGGAGCATAACTAGTAAAATGTACTTGATATGACAACTATAATTTTTATTTTAGCAATAATGAAACGTATGGAAGAAGAAAATCAGGTGAATTCTTACTTAGTCACAGATAAATTTCCTAAACAATTACGTCAATTGAAAACAAAAATGAGTTATTATGCAGAAGTAACAAATAATAAAGCATTAGGACAAACAGAATTGAGTAATTATCGTTCAAAAGTATGTCTATACTATTTCTCTCTAATTTTGATTACGTATTTTTTAATTATCATTTTTGTTTAGGTTCTTGAATTAACTGCAATTATCAGTAAATTACATGAAAAACGAAATTTTGCTAAAGATCCTACTGCTGATAATTTGGCAGTATTTCGGCAACAAGTATGTGCAATTAATAAAAAATAAAAATAAAACTAATTTTTTGAATTTCTATTAAGGCATTAATTATTGCTCGAAAAAAAGATCAAGCAGCTGAACGTTTGACACATTTGCGAGCAGAAAATGAAACACTTGAAAATGGATTAAATCAAAAAGGTCGTCATCCTGATGTTGCCGGAGGACGGTCAAACAATGATGTACCACAAGGAGAAGAAGTTCGTATTATTATTTATTATTCTCTGTGCAACAATTATGTACTTTGTTTTGTTTTCATTTAGTTTCAGCGGTATGTCAATATGCTCCGTAGTAAAAGTAATACATACAAGAAAAAACGACAAGAGATATCAGAAATGACAGCTGAATTATCACTATTAAAACGAACAGAAGAAATTTTAAAAGAACAAGTTGAAAAAATGAAAAGTTCAATGGTAGATAAATGTGACAAATATATCTATGAATGTAACTGATCTATGAGCTTTTCGTGTTTTTAGACAATCGAAGAACGTAAAAAAGGTGTTGAAGGTTATTTTTCTGCTTATGAACGTCTTGAAGAAGTGTCAACAATGAAAGCTGAACAAGATGAATTAAAAGGCAAAAGTTTAGATGAAATAACACAATTAATAAAAACGTTGAATAGTAAAATGGCTAGTAAAAAAGCAGAATTAGATCCAATTTTGAAAGAGATTAAACCATTACGAGAAAAAGTAAAAGTAAGTTATCATATATAAGACAAACTAATAGCAAACAAACTAACTTTGTTTCTTTCAAATTTAGGAGATAAACAGTGAATATGAAGCGAAAAAAATGAAATATGATACATTGAATGCCAATTTTGAAAGTAATCGTGCAACATTAGAAGGAGTAAGTTTTACATCTTTCCTCTTCAACTATTTAATTTATTTATTTTTTCTCTTTTAGGAAGTTCGTAGTCTTTATGAAGAGCAATATGCACAAGAATCTCGTTTTCATACGTTAAAATCAACTATGTTATTGTGTCATGTACAATTGAAACGTGCAAATGATGAAATGAAATCATATGTATCAAAGGATAAAATTGATAAATCATACAGGTATACATTCATTTGACTAGTTCAACAAATAATTTCACTTTTATTTTATGATATTTTTTGTTGTTTTTTTTTTGCTTCAGAGAAGTGTTAAGTAAACAAATTGCTGAACAAGAACAACGATTAAAAGCCTCTCGTGAAAAACAAAAAAGTACAAAAGATGTTCAGATTGATGGTACAAAACAAATAAAATATTGGCGTGATATACTGAGAATGATGGAAATGAAACGAAAATTAGCAACTGTAAGTTATTTATAAGAATATTATAATAAATAATTATTATGTCTTGTTTTTTTCAATTTTAGGGCGAAATGTAAAAATGATGATCGTCTGCTTTTCTTTCTGTATTTTTTGTAATTTAAAAGAATTATACGCAATTAATTTGTGTATTTTTTTCATATTATCCGATGTTTTGTTGTTATAAATTTTAAACATATGTTACGTTTTGATATGAGTATTATCTAAACCTGTTGAAGTAAGAGTGACTTCGAAAAATATCACTGTTCATTCATTCAGATTTTTATTAGTCTTATTTTTGTTGTAATTAGAATTTCACATTTAGAACGTAAACTTTGTTAATGGCTAAATCATATAAATGATGATGATCAGTTAGAATCTTGCATATTGAACGTTGTCTGCATTGATTCTTATTTTCTATCGTTTAATGAATAATCATAATATTTTTTTCTACGCTTTGATCATGATAAGAATAATTCTAGTTAATACTACTCGATATAACATAAACAACAATGCCAATAAGGAAAAAATAACACAGGAAACCTAATAACAATAGTAGCAAAGAAATTATGTCTGTATATGACATAAGGAAATAAGTAAGATTTGTATATGCTTTAAGTATGTATATGTCCGAGCAAAACAAAAAAAAGAAAAGATTTTTTGTATGTATAATACTTTTTCTTCTGCTATATAAGTTATATTTATTCTATAAGGAGTATATTGAGGAAAAACTAGCACCATTGCTTTCCTCTTGTGTGTTTCTCTTCTAGCAAAATATTTCTTTATCATTATTTCTTTTTTCATTTGCTATCTATCTTTTCCACTTGATGATATGTCCATTTGATGATATTTTCTTCTGAGATATCAAAGTATCAACAAAGACAGAGAAAGAGATGCTGTTTGACATTGATGATAAGATAAAGGATTTTGTCACCGATCAAAAACGGCTGTACCACTTTTACTAATCATCAAATTGTTAACATTTAATTACGTATGGATAATCACTTTAAATATCTGTTAGACAATGATACAGGTACGTTAATTCGAATAGTTTATTGATCTCATGCTTTTGACTAAAAACATGTAAGGATGCAATATAATGACTATGGTCATTTTTCAGTATCTACACTAATAAATCCTATAGTCGGATCCTAATTGGCTCTTATAAGATCTTATAGGAATCTATTATAGGATCTGGCGAGATCGGGTAGGAAATACGTAGGTAATATTAGCGGTAGAAATGTTGTAGGATGCCTACAATTGGATTCTCTCAGATTATACAGTTGGATCCAACATGATCTGATCAGATCCTATGTAGGATTCGACAGGATCTCGTGTAATTTTTAAAGGATTTCATAGAATACGTTTAAAATTATATAGTTGCACCATATACAGTTGTTTCTATTATCTCCTTTTTTTGTACAGATTTTAGTAAAATAGGCCATTACATCTATTAAGGTGTAATTATATGACTGCCCGTGCCATACAGATCTTTTATCTGCATATGACTCACTCTTGAGTTCACATTTCGATAAGTTATTGGAAAAGATTTAATGTTTGTTTTTGCTGCTGTATGTTTATATAGATTGTTTCACGGAAAATAAAACGATGAATGAATGATAGACCATATCTAAGTGGCACCCTCATATACGTCTAAAGGATAAATTGATATCCATAGGATATTGTAGGAATTCTAGGAAACATATAAGATCCTGCAGGATATTTTAATCTAGGTAAACGAAATACTCAGAATTTACGTCAAAAACAGAATCGACTTAAGCAGAACAGAACCTTAAAACAAGTTTTCTCAAAATATTTTTTAGTAGTTGAATCTGGTACATCTTTGCAGGGTTCAAACTCGTTTTTTTATATTTTTTTCAAATTTTAAGAACATAAAAGTCTGCGTCGATTCACCTATGTTATTATGTTATATTCTGATTGACGGAAGTAGGTTTTTATGATTAGCGTATAGCCAGAAGTGAAATAAGTCTTGGAAGTACATTGTTCAGAAAAAAGTGTCTCTTGACATTCCGACAGATTTTTAAGCTTGAATTTAATCTGAAATGGCAGTTTTACTCAGACACTGATCATCGCCATATACAATGTTTTGAGAAAAATCGTGGGATGAAAAATGACCGTAGTTAACTTGCATCGCATCCTTTTAGAAATTTCAAGTCGCTTTTCAATTCTATTAGAAAGAAAAGTACTTTCAATACTTTTTCCCGCTTGCTCGTGATGACCACTTGTATTTAGATTCTAAACAGAGAAAGCCATGTTTTTATCTGGCTGAACAGACAAAATGATGTTATATGTTCCGCTGTTTCTTGTTCTGTTCATTTATCCTCGCACGATATCTTTTTTTTCTTTCTTCTACTCCGGTTAGATTCACAAAATTTCTCTAGACTATTCAGGTCGTTGAACATTAAACAAAGTAGCCGCCAGTTCTCTTAGCTCTTTAGCCGTTTTTCTTTATATAATTTTCTCTTTGCCACCGGACGTCCTCCTTATTAAGGGACATATATATTATTTGTTTTCATTTCTAATTCATCAATCACATATTTTGACGAAGGTCTACAGTTGGTTTTCTAAAACAAACCATACCGATTGGTGTTATATCGAATTTATTGATAAGACATAGTTCAATAACACACACAATTAGAAAAGAGTAGATTGTTACATATTGTACACAAAAAAAATACAACAGAAAACTATGAAAACTCATTTGTGCGTTCTGTCTATTTGAGTCGCGACATTTTCTATTTCCTGACGTACGTCAGTTTTCGATTATTATCACGACAATCATTATTTGAGATAAGACGATATGCTTGAAATATTATAGATTGCTTTTGCGTTTGCACAACCGTCCTTTCCGGCACATATGTTACCGCTAGAAAATAGAATGGATTATCATAGTACAGTCTAACGTTTGATATTACTTACAAAATTCGATTGCAAGTGTTACTGTAGATTTTATTTTATTCTGGGCATTCGCATGCCTTGTGAACACTATGACAACAAACAACATACGTGATTAACTAGAAGAAAACAAGATGAAGAGAAGAAATGTGAGCAAAAATAGTAATCTTAAAAAAAATTATGTTAATACTAATTAGAAGCTAATCAGAGGAAAAGATGCCTGTGGGAGTGACTATACTAATATGATTTTTTTATTCTGTCTGATACCTATTCTGACATAATATTTTTTTACCACATTATTAAGATAAATCATAGTTCAATAGAATACCACCTACTTTTCTGTCGATGATTTTTATTGTATTATCGCATGTACCACTGATCGACAGTGTTGCTATGTCTATTTATTCCATGATAATAATCATCCTTTTATTAGTTATTAATTATGTAATTGTTAGAGCATAGTTTTAGCAGAAAAACTTTTAGAATGGAAAACTCATCACTACCTTTCACTCTGATCGAAAATGCTGATGGAATGTGCAATATTCAAAATAAAAATGAACGAAAATAATGACTTAGTTTAAGTAAGTCATTGTACTCACTAATAGTGTTATTGTCTGACCACATTTTTTTCATAAATGGTTTTAAAAATAAATAACCTTTGAATCATACGATTTTGATAAAAAGAATCTCCATACTTGGTTTGTTCGCTAATTTTTGCGAGCAAAAATACATGTCGTACAGCGGACGGTGTCCCCCGGATTTGTCCTTAAATCGCTTGGGAAGATTATACAACAATAGCAGTGAGTTATTAGAGACGAATCGAGGCTAAACCTAAAGAACTAATAAAAAACGAAAGTAATTATTGAATGCAGTTGAACCCTTAGTAAATGTACTTAAGAGCAAGCACTTAGCTACTTACAAATTTTTTAAAGTACTTGGTTAAGCGCTTGTCAAGCATTTTTGTAATACACCTTCACTAAGAAAGCTCTCGCTATAAAAGTTGTAACTAAGAATTTCCTCCATCTAAAAGAAGGAAAAGTTAGGTAATGGTTTGTACAGGACGTGTGTCGGAAAGGCAAACGAAATAAAACATGACAGAATAACTTTTACAGAAATGAATTAACCTTTTTTTATGTTTTCTTGATGTTTTTTCAATAGTAAAACTGTCAGATGTAATTTGTTGTTAAAATTGAAGTAAAGAAAATGTTTTAAATCACTTAATAATCACCGAAAACTTGTTAAGTAAAACAAAGTAAGCGATAAAATTCAAATTAAGAAATTTAAATAGTTTAAAGTTGAATAGTTTAAATTTGATTTATCTTTTTAAAAATAAATTATTGTCTATTTTTGAAAATTGATATTCATGCTCGGTGTTAAAAATTACGCCTGCTGCTGTTGTATAACATTAAAAGTGATCTGAGAGGAAAGTATCATTCATAGTTGATGATGTGAGTGAATTTTTTATGTGGATAGACCCTATAGTTTAAGGAGAAAGCATATCAGACTTAGTTTTATTCTTCTTAATGGTGTTTTAGATATATTATGTCTACACTTGAAGAATTTAATAAGCAATTTGATGTCTTTGTAATGAGGATTGAAAATATGACCAATTGATAGTTCATGATTGCAACGGACAGCTGTGCGATGAAAGTTCAAACCTTTCGGTATATATTTCTTTGTGTTGAATAATCTCATGTACGAGAATATCTTCATTCTGCCGTTGATTTATATAGCATATGTATTGTCATTTATTTTTTGTTTCAAGTAAAAAGTTCATATTTATGAATGATAATAACAAAAAAAGAAACGGTGAAGACTGTTTTAGTTCTAATTAAGTAATTCGAAAGAGAATGGTAAAAAGATTCTTAAGAAATATGTGTGTGTGTGTGTGTATGTGTACATCTGTTTCGCGAGTGGTTTCGACCTGTTTTTCTTTATATTTACACGAAAAGAATTAATGTGTCATTACAAGGGCTTTTATTAGAAAAGAAAGAAAATATTGCAAATAAACGAATAGAACATAAAATTTTGCGACTGCATGATTCCGATACCGTGATATCGTGATCGAATTTTCCCATGGGTATTGTGAGAAACATTGTAAAGAAGGAAGTTTTAGGCAGATAACGCTACAGAAAAATACATACATCTTGACGTACTTGATGTGTATGCAATCTGTTTTTCGATACCTTTTAAATGATCAAAAAATAAAATTTTTCCTTTGGATAATGAAATGTTTTCTTCCTTAGAAAGTTCGTTCTTTTTATATTGTGATACAAAAACACTAAATAGATTGGTAAAAATTCATATAAAAATTTCTTTGTGCTTTGCTTTAAACAATTTGTGAAAACCGTCACAAATATATCATGAATGTCACTTTTAGTATTAAGTGGAACACGTCTTCTCAATTACTATATTTTCATGTACATTATACTTTTCACATTGAAGTTTTTCTACTATTTTTCTTAACTAATAAATATAATTACTATATTCATAGTAGTAGAATAATACTATATTCATATGTTCTTGCTCATTGAAAAATCATCAGACTTGAAGAATGAAAGTTAATTTTAGCACCAAATAAAATAAGTTTCTTAACTTTATTGTGTGTCTTCTTATGTATTCCAAAGATGTTTTGTCGTAATATGTTTTTTTTTCAATTGTGAATATGATCGTGTGTTTAACTGTTGCTGTTTGCAAATTACTAGTGCGAAGTCTGTGCTTAGTTGATAGCTATTATCTGATGTCTTGAGATGGTAGTTTATTAAGAATAACTAATACTAGGCTGTTGATCGTGGTCTTTTGAGTTAAAAAATTTGTTTATAGAGACAACATATTTCAGTAAAAGTTTTTCTTTCTTTTTTTGTTTTTTTGTTCTTTTTAATTGTTATCAGATAATAGGCGGGATATTGTTACTGTCCATGTGCTGAAAATCGGCAAAAATCATGAAAAATCATACGATTAATCGCGATTGATTGCCGATTTTTTGATGATTTCAGCGATTAATTGACAATTTTTTTCGAACCCATTTTAGGAAATACATATTTATCCTGATTTTTCATTCTTTATTAGGTATAATGACATGTGCATCACTCAGCTACGGTTTAGCACCAGCTGAAGTCGATGCCTTTCTGAGTCGATTTTAGACATTGCCCAGATACCAGCTATTCACTGGGGCCCTCGGCTTAAAACTCTAAGGGACCACAGAGAAGACTCTTGACAACTCTGTTTTACTCTAATAAAAAGATGATCTCAATAGAAGTGTATTCCTCGTTGAAATCGTATTCCTTATATACATACTTTACGACAAAATAAACGGTGAATAACAATAGTCATTTAATCGCTTAAAATCAACAATTAATCACAATTAATTGACGATTTTTAAAAATAAGTAAAATCATCGGAATCGCCAATTAATCGCAATTAATTTGCAATTTTTCAAGAATCGCGAAGTGTTAAAAATGCTGCGATGTCGTCGACATGGATGATGCTTCGCGTTCATGTTTATGCAGTATTATTTCAGCAAATACTTGCATTATTCGTGCGCTTCCTCGAATTGATGTTCAGTCTAATCAGTAGAAGTGTAGTGCATCTCCATCCAAGATAATTGTTTGCTAATCCTTGTTGATCGATTGCTGTTAAGAAAAAACAATTGAGATGTCAAATACTATCCATCAGTCTTAATCATACACATATTTGAACTATCTATCATTACAATTGTATGAAATTTATCTCACTCACTGACGAGAGAAATTTCCTTCGTATGAGTTCTAATACAACTAGTGTGTTCAGTTTTTGACACTGACGAAGAATCTAATGAGGATAAATGTTAAAACTAAATTCTCAAGGTTTCATGTCAGATTTTTAATCAGTGTCAAAAACTGAACAAAACCATCTATATTTGAACTTATTCTCGGATGATGAAGGAACATCTGCTGTCGTGTGAGAGGCTTGTCACCGATAGCGTATAAGATATCAATGAGAGATCCCAATTGCCATTAAATAGGTGCTTGAAGAAATGCATCAGGCCCGTGATATTCCTCCAGCTAAGCAAGCTGTAATTCACCAAGAAGGATTTAATGTCGCTTCGTCCCTAAGGGCTCACCCTTACTTTTGATGTCGTGTCTGATGTTGTTTGCTCTTACAAAGCCAATTCGGACGAATTTATATCTCTTTTGAGAAGCTTCGGTCGAGAGAATATAGAAGAGAAAAGACACATGCAATTGGCTTTGGGCTAATTTATTGCCTAAAGCAGTGTGAAAATATGAAAATCATCCTACCATTTGTGTTCTCAATACCAAATATTCAAATATGCTGAAGTAATATTCTCACGTATGAAACACTGCAGAATAGAGTGATAATTCAATATCAAATGAACTGATAGTGATATTTTGAAAGACGTTCATCTGGTGGTTAATATTCTGCAGGAAAATAGTGATTAATAATTAGTTAATTATGTCGAACATTTGCTTCAGCTCTTAACAAACATTCAAGAGCGTTCTCAAACAGCGGAAAGTACGAGCTTTCATGAATTTTCTTTAATTGGTGGCATTATGGAGTAGAAAAAGTCGTCTCTCACTGAAAACGTCTGACTGAACAGATTGCACAGATGCGTCCGCATATCCGCGTGAAAAACGAAATTGTGATTTTCGTCATTCTATTCAAAATAATCAAGTATCGCACATACATTATTGTATTTGTTTACGTCAAATGAGAAGTTTCAGAAGTGTCAGAAAGTGAACTTAGCGAAGAGAAAAATCTTCACTATTTTATTTCGAAATATTTATATGAATAATTCATTGTAGATAAGACTACAGTTGGATAATACCACGAATATAAAAGCAACTATATTTTTGAATACTATAGCTACGACATGCCATATATTTCTTCAAACACTAGTTGCTTGCTGAAAAATCATAGAGATTTTTAAATAATAGACTAAAAATCTTTAAGTAGTTTGGTAGGAAAAAGTGCTGAGAAATAGATTTGTGAGAGTGAGAGAGAATTTGATATAACTTCATTTCTGTCCTAATTAAGCGTATGGAAAAGAAAATTATGCAAAAGCTTTGTAAACCTATCATACATGTTATTCTTCATAGTAGCGGCGGAACCAGGATTTCGTGCTAGGCAGGGCTTAACTCATCATTTTTCTGTTCGGTCTGAAGTAGTACTAATAAATTTAAGCTGAATTTCAGGAAAAATTTTATAAAACTGTCTAGGCGGGATTCAGAGCTTTCTAGGAAGGGCTTAGCCCAGTCTAGCCCTGTTGGTGGCTCCGTCACTACTTCATAGTACGCTCTACGTCTTAACATCTATTTCAATTCATAGAAGTCAATTGCCTTGTACGATATTGTGACAAACAGTCTATACTAACGCATAAATGGCATTATGTCGATCAATATTCACACGAGTTTTTATGCCCCACGATGTGTTTGATATGTAAATAAATATGAGAGTATTTTCTATGCATAGAGCCTAAAAATGATTGTGAATATATGTCTCATAGAAAAACCACATAGGTCTTGTATACGCACACTTCCCATTAATTTTTTTTCTCTATATATTGAGATATACAGTGCACCGTAGCACTAGAGAATTTTCTACTCATTAGTTTCATGTATCTTTCTTTTGTAAATCATTTACGTTTTTCTCTTCCTTTTCTTGTTCGCTATTTGGCAACTATGTTCTTGTACAATAACTGTCAAAGTCGACAGACAGTTTTATATCAAGCAATTTGTGGCTATTTCTTCTTTAATATTATTATATATTTTTATAATGAGAAATATATACTCCATATTTCTCTAAACACTGATTAATTATTAACTGAAGAAGAAATAAATTTCTTCGATCATTAAAATTTTTTTCTAAAATGTATTATATGAATGATGATTCATTAATTTTAGCACCAGAAATAGTTCGACGTCTAAGTTCATTTGATGCCAGAGAAGATGAAACCGTTACGTTTACGTGTACAATACAAAGTGAAAACGATGAACCATACATTATTCGATGGTACTATGGTGATAAAGAAATAGCCTCTTTAGATAAAAAATATTCTATTGATCATGGTGAAAAGACTGGAATATGCTTACTGACTATCTACAATGTAACAGCCGATGATGAAGGTGCCTATCGTTGCATAGCGACTAATAAACATGGATCATCTGTAACAACTGGATTTCTTACTGTACTAAGTAAGTTACAATTTTTTCAAATGTAAAATCATCATTTGATTTGTAAGAGACAGAGGCCCGTCTGATTTCCAGATTTCGAGTATTTTTTGGTTTTATATGATCTAAGCTTTATTCTTCAGACCACAATCTCAAATAAATTCACTATAGTATTCTAAAACTTAAAGTTATCAAAGGGCCCACATCAAATCCAAATTTTGAACTCAAATAGATGAGCCAAATTCACCCAGCATTCGCGCCCCGCCGAGAAGCCAGATGAAAACGTCAGTATTGAGTGTAAAAATCCAATGAAAAAAATGTGCCAGTTTGGACATAACCTCAGACTCAAGGGCTTTGCAATTAGTATCAACCGAATTTGACGTTGAAGTATTCATCTAGCTTCTTACTTAGAACAAAATGTTCCCCGGCATGTTTGTCTTAAAGGGTCTGCAAACCAAACTGGGTCTACACTTTAGGTGGACTGGAAGAAAGAAGCTACCTACCAATGGAACTTTAAACCTATTTTGCGCTGTTTTTTACAGACTATTCACTTTACTTGTATATGTTCTGTCGTTATCTTAGGTAGAAAGCGATCGCAGTCTCCATCTCCAACACGTAGTCCAGCAAGGACATTAAGTTCGAGTCCCGGCCGATCTCTCAGTCCATCAAAGGCATCTCGTGAACGTGGTGCCTCACCGCTTCGTTACATCAACGTACCGCCCTCAAAATTAGAACGGGTTACCGAAGAACTTGAAACATTAATCACTGCCGAACATATTAATGAACAAGAAAAAGAAAACATCACGCCAAAAATGGATCAGGATAGTGCGTCAATTACCAACCAGGACGCGAATGATGCGAAACTCAACTCAAGTTCAACACCTGAATTAATCGCACTATCCTCTGACATGCAGAACAAACAAGAAAGCATGAACGTCGACAAAAGTACTGTTATCGTCGAAGCTAACAAACCAATACAACCAGTAAGCATGCAAATTATTTTTCTCTAATGATTACATTCTTGAAATTTTTACTTACGAGGAAAGGTCCCCGAGTGTCACCTTGAATTTTCCTTGAAACATACTTGATTATGGGTAATTTTTATGCTGATCACGAATCTGATATACGTTCATCCCCATATGGTCTTTCAGAACCTCTGTCAAATTCAGTGTCTTCAGGAACCGTCTGAACAAATTCTAATAATGCCAGATTGTAAAGAATATCAAGTTACCCCTTTGGACACGTTTTGAGAAGCAAAGGACAAATTTTCACTTAGTTATAAAAATACCAGTGTTTTAGCCAGCCAAAACAAGGATCATTTAGATATTTTTTGCATACAAAATCTATAAGTCAATGAAAACTGGTCCTTTATTTCTCAAAACGTGTCCACGGGGATTATTTGATATGCTTCGACAACCTGGCGCTATTAAAATTTTTTCGACGAAAGTGCACTATGGGCTCCTGAAGACACCGAATTTGAACAGGAGTTCTGAAAGAATAAAAAGCTACGGCAAAGTACTCGCAGAAATATAAACATACTCTAAGTTGATTGGTTATTGCAAAATAGTCTTCTAGACAATAAACGGCTATTACCACAGAAAAGTTGATTAGACGAAGAATTAGAATTCTGAAAGCTAGAATGGTTTTTCATTTACTAGATCAACTGATTTGCTTCCTTATGAAAAGATGAAAACATTTCGACAAACTAGTTACTACGAGTAGGGGTTCCAAACATAAGGTATCTTAATCGGGTATGGATGAATGATAACCATCAACGAAAAAAAAAAATTTCATGCTTTGGTTTGAAAGAAGAAATTGATTTTTATGGTCAAAGATGGAAAGGTTATAGTCTATCAGATGCAGATGGATTGATATGTACAGATAAACAAAATAATAGAAAATTTTGTTTTCCTTACATATTCTTGACATTGATATAATTATTGTTGTGTGTTTTGTATAATCAGACAATGAGGTTGCTGTTAAATATAAAGACGCAGTGTTTTTATACTAAAATACATGCATTATTTTCAAGATAGACAATCAACTATTAATTCTCTATTGATGATCCGTACAGCAAATATAATTTCAAGTGTATGTGATACGATAGAGTGAGAAGATATAATAATAATTTAGACACTCAAGGGCAATGTCGGTTTATCTCATGATTAAATTGAAAACAAGCATAACTAATGTTGGCTCTTTTGTTCCTTCCTAATTAATGCAAGGGAACTTATCCTATTAAGCCTACAATCTGCTAATACTTATAAAACATTTTTCCAGAGTTTCAGCTGGTAACCTCAAGAGTTGTTAATATGAACAATTAATGAACCCGACAGTTATGATTTACTATTATCTATGCAGGAGATAATCAGAATTCTATTACGTTCCGCTGAACAAGAGTGTCATAAGTTAACACAGCATACTTTTCTCCTTTTAAAGACATTATCTTGATGCGAAAATAATACATATTGTTTTATTATTTTCAGGTTCTGCAAAAGCCCGTGATTATCATACAACCGCCAAGTTTGATCAGCGTCAAAGAAGGAGAAGATGTTCATATTAATAGTACTATTACAGGTAAAGATGGATCTTCTATTAACATCCATTCACGTATAGAATGTCAATTGTAGTATGAAAGTTGTAGTGATATCTAATACCAACGTTAATTTTAAGGTATTCCTGAACCAACTATTCGATGGTTGAAAGGCGGAAATGAACTGCGAGAAGATCATCGCATTGATATGTATGCGGATCGTGGTGTTCACCATTTGGAAATATGTGAAGCGCAAATGAGTGATAGCGATGTATATGAGATAATTGCACAAAATTCTGTTGGAAGAGTATCAGCAAAATGCAAAATAGAAGTCAAAGAAGATCAAAATAAAATTAAACGATTGAAAGTGGACGGATTATTTGCATATGGCTCACGGTGAGTGAAAGTTTTGATCAACTATTTTTTATTCTTTTCTCGAATAACTGTTTAATACGAAAATCGGCTATAGTTAACCTTTTGTCCGTGCTTTATTATTTTCATCTTTTGTTTTTAATCACATATCGCAGAAAATGTTCTCTATATTTTGATCTTCCGTTCTAGTAACCGTGAACTTTTTCTGAAAAAAACGAGATGCGCGTCCGTTGAACTTTTTATCCATTATATGGAAAAGTATCCTTTCTCTGAGTCCAATTGTGCACGTGATGTTGTTGTAGAGTTACACAGCTGAATCAAGTAGATTTTCTAGTTATTTTCACTAGTTGACTGTTAGTCAAAAGGGGTAATGAAAAAGGTTAAACAAATATATTTGGATACAAAAATTGTTACCGAAATTGCAGAACAGTTTCCCGATGCCTTTTGTTCTAAGATTTTGTGGCTTTCGAGAAACATCTCCGATCAAACATTTTTATATATTTCTCTAGTAGACACTTTACTCTTTCTAACAAAAAAAAGGATAAAGTCTCTACGATATTTCGCTGCCACGCTATATCAAAAACAAAATCAATGGAGAACTTTTTCCCCATCCGTTAATTATTAAAAAGTTTAAATTATTTGCACATGACCATCAATACGAATCGTACTGATTCTTAAACGGAGTTACTCTCCGCTTTTTCTAGACGGTTGTCGCGCTATTTTGCATACTTAAAAAAAGAAGGATATTGAACTTGTTTGTAATTAAAAAGACTCACGAAAACTTTTTAACTGTCACTCGGCGTGGTCATCTAACTCTGCTACCATAAAGGAATTTTGTAACATTTTTTTGTCATTTTGTTTTGTTTATAAATCGTAAATCAAACGACGCAGACACGTCATAAATTGAAGAAAAAACCGATGTGAACATTTTAAAGGCGTCTCAGCTCTGTAACATGTCTCATTTTAAAGATCTGATAGAAATATTGGCAACTATTTTTCGATTCTGCAAAGTTTAAATGTGCGAAAAGTAGTTGTCAATATTTCTATCAGATCCCTAGCGAAAGTTCTTGGACCCAAGAAATACCAAAATCTTGGGACAAGAATGTCCTAAGATCTTGCTTTCTTGGCTTCAAGAACTTTCGCTAGGGATCTTTAAAATGAGACATATTGCAGAGCTGAGATGCCTTTTAAAACGTTAACAGCAGTTTTTTTTTCAATCTATGACGTGTCGCAGCTGTCTGCGTCGTTTGATTTACGATTTATAAACAAAATAAAATGACAAAAAAACGCACTGTAAATGTAAAATACCTGTTTTAAAATTAGGCTTTCGTATCAAGATTTAAAGAACTCCTTTTAAAGTACTTAGAAAAGTTTCAAACCTGCAGTTAAGCAATAATATAGATTAGACTTCGACATGGCTGACCATTTGATGGAGCAGGTAGCTCAGAGCTGGAACTAGTTGAGGAAAGACAACCCGGTCCGGTTTTTTCCCCCAGAAATGAAATAGTTTGCGAGCACATGTGATCTTCGCAGTAACGAGTCTATAATATTCAACCTTAAGACAAGTGATGAAAATGATATCTGTCTTGAGCATCTTCTTATTTATTCTGACTGAAAAAGACGTGAAGTTTTAGGTTTTTTGACGAAAAACAGGTTAAAAAAAGCAGATGTTTCAAAACTTTCAACCGGTGAAATACCGGTCTCTACCGGCCAGGTTGATTTTTTCAACCGGTTCCAGCTCAGAGATAGCCCACAACTACTATTAACCAACTACCCGTCGAGCTAACCTTGATAATCCGTGCATCGAGAAACACAGCCTTTGCTTCCTCTTTTAAGCAAACTGAAATAACGCCCCGACACAGTCGGATATGGACATTTTGTCAAAAAGTGAGTGTTTATGTTTTAATCTCCTATAATAGGATATAAAGTTCGATCGTTTGGGCAACGTTTCCCATGTGAAAAAATGTTTTTGTAACCTTTCAAATATTGAGAATACTCACTTTAGTAAAAAGACCTTAAAACTAGTTGAGAAACATGCAAACTTTAATTTTTTAATTTCAAGTTAGTGTTCGTAGTAAAAATTGAGTATTTTCCATGCTAAAAAAGTTTTCTAAAACTAACTTTTGGTATAATAAATTTTCCAGTTTTCAATCGAGCTCAAACTTTACACAGATCTTCTTTCTCTATTAATTACATCTATACCCAATACACAAGTTTTTCTGGACTCAACAGAAGGTTTTTTCAAATCTTGCGGTTTTCAATAAAACAAACGAAAAATGGTATATTCGGGAATGACGCATGAAAATGTATCGAACTATGTATAAAACAATAAGTTTTGAATGAAAAATCTCAAAATCGCAATATAAGTTTTTCGCCTAAGGCGCCAGCGGTTATCTTTCGAAAACAAGTTCTCTATTCAAGAAATTTGTTGTTCCCAAATTAATGTTGATGCTCGCACCACAAGCCAAAATTGCCCACTGCACGTGGCCCATAAAACGGGAGAATTACTCAACGCTTCGTCGCCAAGGCAAGAAGCTTACACAAATCTTATTAAGATCTTAGCAAGATTTTGCTTAGTTTTCTCTAAAATCTTAGGAAGAAGAAAGAAGAATACCCCATCTTATGGCTAAAGTTATTAGCATAGAGTGCTGACAAACAGTAATTTCTATAACCCGATATCTTATCTGCAGTCACATCTCTAATATCTTGTTAAGATCTTACTAAGAAGGTTTTTTCTTCAAATTAATATTTATTCATGATTTATTCAGAATTTTTGAATATCTTCTCCAAGTGTTGATAAATTTTACCAAGTGTTGGTTTGAGCCTTCTATCCTGCATTGTTAAAACTGCAATCGAACACACCTGAGAAACAAAAAGAAATTTCATATTTTTAGACATCCAGTCTTGAATGTTGACTTGCAGTGTGCATTCTCTTAAAAGTTGTTGTGACTAAAATCTTACAGAAAAACGACATAATAAAATTTAGTTATATTTTCGATGTTATTTATGTAGATGCGTGGGAGCGAAACAAAAGGGATCACTAAAAATAGAATCATTAAATCTTATTTAAATCTTAATTAAGATCTTAGATTATCTTCTAAGATTTTACACAATCCTAGTAAGAGATTTTAAGATATGTCTAAGATTTTTATTAGGATAATACATACGTGAGATTAGCACGTGCGCATCAAGACATGACTAGTTCTCTGCTAGATCTTATTTCTAATGTTTCATCATTTATTTTATTTTAGTCAACAAACATATAAAGCGCCGGAATTTATTATAAAACCATCTAATAGAACAATCCATGAAGGCGATATGTTTCAAATATTTGCAAAAGTTGTCGGTAAGAAAATCTTTTTCTTATTATAATTTTATTTTAACTTTGCATTTCAATGAAGGTATCCCGTCTCCCGAAGTTGTATGGATGAAACTCGGAAGATCACTCAAAGATGATGGCTATTATAAAATTTATGATAAAGATGGACAAAATTATTTAGAAATTCCCGCAGTATCAATATTGGATTCTGGTGAATTTACATGTTTGGCTAGTAATATGATGGGTGCTATCTACAGTTCATTTCAACTACATGTCGAAGGTTTGAATAAACGTTCCGTTTTTTTTCCTATCTATGAATGTGTTGGTTGAAAGTAAATAGCATCACTTAGAATAGTTTTAGTTCACATTAGTATAAAATCGATGTTTTATTTTTAATCCTTTGAGATATGTTTATTATTTTATAATATAGCGATGACTGAACCAGACAGTTCTGAACTAGAAGAACGTTCATCAAATGTTTCCGACTCAGAACAATCAGGACGAGATAGTAAAACAAATCCTACAAATGTATCAGTAAGTTTTCTGTTTTTATTTTTTATTTTTTAACTAAACATTAATACTAATTGTTTAATTTCTTTATTTTAATATTATAGATGGTTGCAACAGAACTCATTGACAAACATGTACGTCAGCATCGACAATCAAGACTAAGCGCTCATTCCGGTGAACAGTCAGACGTTGTATGTAGAAAATATTATTAAAATAGTAAAATCAAAAATTTTGATCGATAAAATATTTCACTTTAGGAATATTTCTTATCTGATTTTATATTAAAAGAAGATTATTGTGATAATGGTCGAGATGTATATATGAGTAAAGGAGATATTGTTGAAATTGTCGACATTGAAAAGAAAGAAAAATGGCTTGTGAGAAATAAAAAAAATTTAAATCAAGTAATATTTCGTGAACTTCCTTTAAATAGTGAATAAATAATTCATTTAACTCTCTATTTGTTCTATTCAGGTATGTTATGTTCCACCTGAATTATTAGAAGTTATACAAGATATTTCATTACCATCAAGTCCAACGTATGAAGTTTTCGATGAAGAACAACAAGAAGCACCCAAACAAGGTATACATAGTCGTGGTTTTTTTCCAAAATTTCGACACTTATCGAAATAAAGATCAGTCAGTTGTTGTAGCAATATACTCGGATACTCCAGAGATGAGCGAGTACGAGTATACTCGAGTACAAAATTCCTAGTACTCATACTCATACTCGAGACTTATTTTAATTAGTATTGCAAAAAATATTCGAGTACTTACCAAAAAACTGATGACCTTTCTTTTTACTATTTGCGTATAAAAAAATCGATTTATTCAGAAATTTTTTGGATTCACCGGCTTCTTCAGAAAAAAATACTCCTACTCCTACTCGATCTTCAGTACTCGTACTCGTACTCAGAAATCCGTGTACTCGTTCATCTCTATGATACTCTAGCTCTAAATTTGACAATTAATTTTGAATAAATTCATAGATTTTTCCGTACAGTTAAATGGTAAATTCTATAGATTTGAGAGAATTTTTGGCAGATCATGTCAGATAGAAACGGAGGCTTAGCAACGGTTCTTTATCATCGTAGTACAAAACTGAATGTTTGAATATCCTCGACTCTGTTATGATAATAAACAAGATGAAGTTATGAGAGATTTTTGGATGAAAAAATTTTGGTATAAATTTGTCAATTGATGCGAATTTTGTACTGAATTATACATGCATTATTAATATGTCAAATGAATGTGTTTTACTCTTGAAGTATAAATAAAAACCTTTAAAAAAAAATTTTTATTATTACTTTTGTTGTTAAAAAATCGTATATATGTGACATAATTCTATATCTCTTATTTTAGAAAGTGTTTTTTTGTTTTTATTTGGCATTTATAGATTCACCTACGCATACCTCGTGTCATTCGTTGATTGAAAGATACTGTATTCGACTATTCCTCTTATATGTGTATATCATTTACAGTTTTTATCTCTCGTCCACATACTATAATCAATAGAAACTTATTTTTCTAGAGAAAAATATATACTTCAATCAGAAGCAAAAGACAGAATTTATACGTTGTTTTTGTGTTTACTCTGCCAAAGAGTTTTCAACTGTTTGCGCCCATATTATACATTATAGAATAAGATAATTCTATTTTCATGCTTGTTCAGAGGCAAGAAAAACGTTGAAAGGGGGAGGTTTTGTTGTTTAATGAGTTATCTAATATTCTACAGAATAGAGTATAATTCTAGATTTTGTTGTCTCAATATTGCTGCTATATGACTCAAATGCTACATAATTTTATAGAATAAAAATACAAGATTGAATAATATCTGATATTTCGTTTTTCATTAGAAAATATATAAAAAGATTATTAATTTGAAATATTAATTTATTATCTACGTGAATAGATTTTTTTGTAAGTCAATATAATACTAATTATGATTTATTTTAAAGGTGTATGTGATATGTATATAATCGACGGGTTAAAAATGATGTATTATGCGACTATAAATGTGTTTAGATCTCCTCTTTGACCTAGCGGACAAGAAGAAGAAGAAAAAAAATAGATTACAGAAAAAGATAATATATTGCTTCATTCTAACAAGAATAAAGATAATGCTCAAAAATAACTTAACCAGTGGACGATAAACTAATTTTTTTCTTTATATTTCATGCTCTAGTCTATAGGATGCAGCTGTTTTGCTATTTATTTTTTTTCTTCTTCTCATGTATCTCTCAACAGTTTACGTTAATCAATATGAAGAAAAAAATTTCTGATTATTAAAGATTAGTCATTTTCATGATGGATGTAAGACGAGAAATATTGTCTATATGTAGATACTAGTATACTGTACCAGAAAATAACCATTCGCTATACAAATGAATATACGATTATAAGACTTTATCTCTCTTTCTCTTTTTTTACATTTTTCCTATATTTCACTCAAAACACACATAATCATCAAGGCTAATATTAAAATAGTCTTAGGAAAACAATAGTTGTATACAAATTAATAGCGGTTATTCTATTGTATATGCGATGGCCTTTCTTCTTTTTTTTTTCTACCGTTAACATTGAGTGCTAGAAAGCGCGTGTATGAGTACAACTGACAGCGGTATCAAGAAACAATTCTATTAATTAAAAGCTAATAAGAGGGTAAGTTTTTGGTCGAAGGTCTTTAGAATTAGCGTAAATCTATGATAATTTGTGATGCTTAAGTAATTGGAATTTTTTCCAGTTAAAAATGAACATTTTTACATCAATACTAATGATGAAAAATTGTTCTTCTTCTTTGCAACTGTAATCGAAATATCAGTGACAGCAAACGTTTATGTCCATTCATGTATTTTTTTCTCCTTGCTTATAAAATACTTTGTATTTATATCTCTGATGTTTGTATTCGAAGAACATTCAGAATATTTCTAGAACTTTTGAGATGCAACTGATGCATCGAGTATAAAAAAATATTTTTTATCGTTTATAATCGTGGTGACAGTAGATTCTATCACACTAACAAAGTTAAATAAGGTAAACAAATATCGTCAATCGGTAACGGTTTCGATTTTCTGTACCAGTTTTACCTCAGTTATCAACTGTAAACTTCAAGAACTAATCGAATAACAATAAGTTTAGTATTATACTTGAAGTCATTTCTTGAAACTCGTTCATCGAATTTTAACTTTTTGTAGATGTAGTTAATTTTATGAAATATATTTGTTGACCTACATCGTAGTCCGAAGATATTTCTATAAATTAAACCAGCTTCTTCATCAATTTTAAAAAGTTATGTATTGTCTATCCTTCTCAGAGCTATTTATGAGTTGATAATAGAAAAATATACCTATATACAGTAATTAATTTATAATTTACGACTGTCAACGAAATAAAACCACAACGACAACTGTATTTATCTGGAATAGTTTTGAAAAACAAAAGGAACTTTTATCAGAGCAGTCGAGCATTGATATTTTTTTTTGGGGGGGAGGGGGAATTCTTTTTGATCTATGGAAAGGTCATTACTACATAAATTACTCTAGTACTAGATTACTATTAGTAAGAAATTCTACAGTACGACTTTCAGAGATTGCCATCTGCTCATTTTTAGTGCATTACCATTTATAATGACCATGTGTGGTGGCTGAAATTAATATAAAAAGTTCCTTAGCTTCTCACATTTTTTTTGTAAATAGTTATAGACGCTGTCAAACAGATAACATTAAAAGTATTAATGCAATCATATATACGTTTCCATCTAAACAAGAAGTTCTGTTGAATTTTAGATGATAGTGTAAGTATTTTAACTTCTATCAGAGACAAGAAATAGTTAGAAGGATTAGAAAAAAGTAATTTTTATTATCATTACAGTATCACTCTTTTCTAGTGAGATTTAGGATCCTGAATGCATGCATCCTACATCAGAAAAACACACACAGAGGTCGTAAACCGCTTTGTAACATTCGAAGAAAGTGTGATCAAACACGGAGGAGTTCACATCAAATTGTAAACCCGATTCTCTACAAAACTATATATGTAACGATTTTTGGAGTATCTAAAAAATAAAAAACATTTTTGTAATTAAAAATAGGTTGTTTTTCGACTATAATAATAAACTAATGTTGTCCTAACTCAGCAATTATCTAACAGTGACACTTAAAAACATTATATGCCAAATTATTATAGTTTACTTTAGTATTGACGATATACTTGGTTGAGATCCTAGAATGATACTTGACATGACTTCGTATTAGTGACTATAATGAATCCAATAAGTTTTTTCACCATCAGTAATCTAAAAGTAGCTAACCAGACCACTTTTCACCAACAATATAATTCATGTTTGATACCTCATAATAACAAAGGGTGGCGTTTCAAAATCTGACTATTGGGCTCTGTAATATGCGTCCTATCAGAATTCATCTTTTTGCTGTAAAATTTATTTTACACAGCCGAGATCAATTTCTTTAAGAAAAATATTTCATCATGCATTGAACTCAGCGTCTAACGGAATCATAACTGAGTTCAACGAGGGAATACAAGTCATTTTTACCAAATCGTTACTACTCTTCTGGAAGTTCTTGTTGGTGACTTTATATGTTCACTTAGTCAATCTCAATGTTCTGGAATTTTAACTTTTATGAAGCCGAAGAATTTCTATATACAGTCATTACGAGAAATCAACAACTTCTAATAATGTTGACATGTTCGACGATGAGGAGTCTTTCTTTTTTGTTGGTGATGTTCAAGATTTGTAGAGTGAGAGAGATCGAGAAACAAACGCATGCACACTCGGCAACATTTTCTCTCTACTGCAAGTGTTTCATAGTCTGACGAAAAGTCAGATTTTATGAAAGTTTCAATGTATGTAATCTAAACCGTTATTTTTAATAAGAGCTGTTGGTACGGAGAATATATTCGTACATATTAAGACTTCCTTTCACGTTAAAAACATTTCTTCAGAAGTATAAGTTATAAAACTTACTATAAGTGCTGGTCATGCCAAAGTGTCGGTATGAAAAAGTTTTGCCAAATTTTCTCTCTTTGCATTCCATAGGATGTCGTCCGAACATGCGATTGTTCGTATTTGCACGATTTTGTGGTAAAGCTGGAGTGGATTTTCCATAAAGAAATTACTTGTGATTAAAGACTGATAGAGTCCAGTTTTTGATGTTTTACTTTTTCGAATGATGGGAGTCTTTAAAAATCAACAACTTAAATAATGCAGTTTAACGTCTTTGAAAAAGACTCCTTACGGAAAAACTAGATCGAACTCAAATATCGGGCTGTAATTCTAGGTTTTTTAATACAGGCAAAGTATCACCAGTATTCCGTCTGGTACACTGACGATATGATAAATATCATCCGACATACCGAGAGGAATTTGTTTCATCTTTTGTTCCGACTGATGGAACACCACATAAAGACGATAAAATTGAAAATTTTCGAACTTTTTTCCACGAACTCGTAGACGGCGTACATGAACTCTGACTGGATTCACCGAGAGGTGGTCTTAAGGGCGATTCTTTTTAATTTTTTGTAGACTACCAGCGGCCAGAGCTGAAAATTAAAAACATTCTAAATCTAAATGTGATGATATTCAGTTTTTGATTGTTGATATCTGAAAAAATAGTGTCTGGTGTGCTGACGGTATGCTACGGTCAGCACACCATTGATTTTTAAAGGCGCCCATCACTCGAAAAAGCAAAATATCAAAAACTAGGCTCTATCAGTTATTAACCACATGTGATTTCTTTATGGAAAATCCACTTCAGCTTCACGGCAAAATCGTGCAAATACGAACAATCGCATGTTCGGACGACACCCTGTCATTGCAAAGAGAGAAAATTTGGCAAAACTTTGTCTTATCGGCACTGTGATATGATCAACCAGGGTTGCTAGGTGCTTAGGTCAGAAATGCGGAATAAAAATTCCAAAATGCAGAAAAAAAAACAGAAACGTATTTTCCTGGTTTAACTTCATTCTTTTTCGCGCGCAGAGAGTCAAAAAAATGTTTTCACTAGCACTTTGCGGTTTTGCTCAATAAGACACAAGAGAACAATAAACATAAAAGTAAATCGCGCTTTTAATCGACACGTTGTTTTTTGACTGTATATTTTTGATTAGAATGAATAAGTTTAAGCAGTTCTAGCGTTGATAAGAAATAATTATAAATTTCAGTGTAGAAATGTGCACGGGTACCATTTTTTCGTACCCGTACCCGACCCGAGAACTTTGTACTCGTACCTGACCCATAATCGACTTATACCTAAAAATTTTCTCCTTTTTATTTTCCAGCTAAAAACTTTTGTTTTTCGGCTGCAGATGTCAAATTATCATTACGTTGTCAAGTAATTCTTTTTTAAATCTTCATGTATATTAGCTAAATTCCTGTATTTTTTTACTAAAATTTTGTGGGTTTTCCACTGGAACCTTCCGGTTTTCGGGTAAATTAAAAAAAATAGAACCCGTACACGTAACTGCTCTACCCGTACCCATACCCAGCCTTCGGGTCGGGTCGGGTACGGATCGGGTTGCACATCTCTGTTTCAGTGCATGATATAATGATGAGTTTAAACGAATTTTTAACTCGCAAAAAATACTTAAAATGCGGTCAAATTGCGGAAAAAATTCAAAAATCCGGAATTTGTCCGTAAAATACAGACCATATGGCAATTCTGTGACCAACACTAACAGTAAGTTTGATGACTTATACTTCTGAAGAAACATTTTTAACATGAAAGGAAAGTCTTCATATGTGTTTACTCTAAATAATCGACTAGGAGCAGAAAAAAAAGGCAATTATAGTAACAGATCTGTCAATTTTTTAGTGAGACATGTATTATCTCACATTGATGTTCGCGAAGAATTCTTTTATTATACATATTATTAAGCTGTCGCTAAAAATCAATAAACATTTTTTTCCTATATATATATTACGACAAACGATGCTTTTGACCGATAACTAACGACGCCAACAGTAGAAGAATTTGGATGAAGGATACAGTCTCTATCGTGTAGTTAAAGTATAAAAAAGTTAAAACTCATTAAATTATATAAAAAGAGTTTGTATTGAAAGAAAATTGTGAATTGAAAACGAATCTAGAAAGTGATAAGATAAAACAAAAAAAGTAGAATCTATGAGTTTTCTTTTTATATTGACTGTTAACTAATTTATAATATTCCTCCCCCGTATTAGAATCCAAACAGAAATCTACATTTCTGTCAAAATTCGTTCCAAGTTTATTTTATCAATGTATAGCCAGCCCTACACCAATGTATAGGCTATAAATTAATAAAATTCCTATTGATTCTGTCCTTATAAGAACAGTAATAAAAACTGAACAGATGTATTGCTAACACTGAGAAAAAGTAGAGTTCATTGCAGTAGAAATATCATTCTACAGTACAAGTGACAAGTAAAATAAAAAAACAGACTAGAATGTACCGTACCTCTCAAGATCGAGCAATCGATTCAGCATGATTTTAAATATAATTTAATTATTGAATTTTTATCAATCCCCAAGCTCTTCAATATAAACTTCAATTGTATTATTGAAAATATCTAAAAATAGAAATCATACTGTTGGTGTTTGAAATATTTATTTATATTCATAATATGAAATATTTTTGAATTTATATTTTAGCACTTTCAAAACAACGATCATTTGGAAAAAAGTCTGGTAGTAACTTAGAAAAACGCTATAGTCAAGAAGATAAAGATTCATCTTCAAGTAGCGATGATATAAAAACTATGATAGAGGTATGTAAAAAATAGAATGATGATATTTTTTCTTCTCTAAAAACCATTAACATTTTTTATAAAAATAATCTAATAACTCATTTTTTTTTTTCTTCGACATATTTGGTTGATGATTTATATCTCAGTCAGCATTCCCTTTTGGGTACTATTTAAACATGGATACGTATAATTAAGTAAAAACTTATAGCATAAAAATATCCTACACTCGATAAGTAATATTAGTAGTAGTGTGGAAAGAAACATACGCTCATCTCTGAATAACAATTTATCGTAATGATCACGTTTATCATAATTTCTTGATGAGAATGATAAAGATGTAAGAAAAAAATTGATATGTTTACTGATACTTGTTATTTTTCATACCAACACGGTATACATAATAACATTAAGCGTATCTAGATAACTGATTATGAATACAAAAAAACATTTGCATGTCATCAGTTATTGTGTAGGCTGACTATTGAGATAGAATGAAACTTTTTATAGAATATAATAATTATTCTAAGAATATGTGACAAAATAATAATAATTAAGATACTAAATTCATTTAGAAAATGATTATGTTTAAAATATCAATAAGTTTACTCTGGCGTATAATTGACTAGATAAGATTCTTAGAATATAAAATATTTAGATTAATGATTTGAATGAGATTTCTTTTATCTAGAAGACACACAAAATTTTATTCTTCTATATAATTTTTTTTTTTTATTTTTTATTTTTAGGAAACTGAAGTTTATTTTGCTAATTCTGATTATCAACCATCAGCACCAGATGGTATTGCACTTGTAGAAAATCAATTTGTCGATGTACTCGATAGTTATGATCCCGAATATTTTCTTGTTCGTACAAAACCAAGAAAAGATGAAAAACCTAAAGTTGGTTGGGTTCACGCTTGTTTCTTAGAAAAAAAGTCAACTAATATTGGACAGGTAGGAAATAATATTATTTGTTTGAAAAGTGTCACTGTTGTTGTTGTTGTTGATAATGTTATATGATATTTACTATGGTAACATCGATTTAAGATGAAGACCGAAACATTTTCTCTTTCTATTCCTAATTATTTATTATCATATATTCTTATAAACAAACAAGACCAAAATGTTTCCATTTGGAAAATCTATGATGGAATGATATTGATATGTAACAAAAAAAACAAAAATCTGAAAATGACAGATTTTTTTTGGTAAAAAAAAAAAGTACCATTAAAAACACTTTCACCATATAGATAAAATTTGATAGTTTCCGATTAAGTACAGATGGTTTTTCTTTTGATATCCTTTTATTCTGGATGTCAGGGTCACATTTTTGTACATGATGTACGTGACATAGCTATTTTGTACAAGATCAAGAAAATAATGTATAACAAAAGAAAAAAAAAAGAAGGAAAGTGCAAGGGTTTCTAATTATGACTAAAAATAAAGCATTCGTTATTCGAATCACCTACTGAAACTTGGCCATTTTATTACATTTTATATAAAAGTGTAAAAAAGAAAAGAAACTAGAATCTCTTACTTTTCTTTCAATGACTTTATACTAACCATTGAAATTTAATTGATATCTAAAAATTTGATGATAATAGAGTAACATATTTTCAATTAACATATGCTTTTTCTATAAACTGTGTGTATTTGTGTGTGTGTGGTGTGTGTGTGTGGTGTGTGTGTGTGGTTGTGTGTGTGTGTGGTTGTGTGTAATTTGTTGTGATTGTCTTATTCATATGAGCATAATAATAACTAAACGAGAATAAATCACCCCTGTTCTCTATTTTTTCTCTATTTCATATAAAGCGTCTATATTATCACTGAATTGGAATGTATTAACTATTGATGAGGAAAAAAGATGTATGTTTTCATTGGGATATTGCTGCTATATTAACTTAAACGTATCTCCTATTTATATGAGGCGTTATTCTTATTTATCATCGTGGTGCAACAGGAAAAACAAAATTTTTTTTTTGGACTTCTTTCTTTTATCTGTAATAGATAGGATGGGGGATATTTAGAGCTTTTTACACCAACCATTTCTAAATAAACAAGTGTAGAGATAGATGAAGAGAGAAAACATGATATATTCTACCGATGAAAACGATATTCTGATTGGATTGTTATTGATTCGCTTCTTCGGTTTTTCTTTTTTTTCTCTTCTCTTTATTATGTGACAAAGATGTTGTTGGTGTTTGTACCTGATATATATTCTTTTTACTTTTTCTTTTTTCTTGCCCGTATCTAATATAATATACATTACGTAAAATACGAGTAGAATCATCATTGATAAAAACTCAACATACATTCGACTGCCACTTTTACTTTTCATCATCATTATTACATTGGTTGACTGTTGTTATTGTTTGTTGTTTGCTGTTGCTGTTCGTTTTATTTTCTTTCTCTAATATTGTCTATCTCTCTCTATAAATATTCTTAATACTTTTAAAAAAGCAAAAACCCTAATAATCATATCATTTGATTATCAATGTTTAATCCAACAGAATCATCGTCATTTATTTATTCGTCATTAGACGAACAAAATCGTTATCGACCTTATGATCGTTCAAAACGTAGTTCATCGGAAACAACACATGAATATCGTCATTCATCTCCATGTAGTTATTATCCAAAAATATCACCCTATACATTTTGTCATCATTGTCCATGTAAAAATTGCCGTTTAAAACGTTCATTACGTTCATCTTATCGTCATATGTCTCGTCGTTCAACATCAACTTCTTCTTATGTACGAGGTGGAAAACAACATGATTATTATTCAAGTTCATATTCATTGCATGATTTTTATGATGAAAATAATCCAAATATAAATGATAATAAATTTTTAAATGAACATAAAGAATGTTATTGTGAAAATTATGATACTCATAGAGTTCCATTACCTTCTAGTACATATCCTATAATATTATCACCAATAACACAACGTCAAACTTCACAACGTGAAAATTCACATGAGAGAAAAAATCATTTCTCATTGCAGATAAATCGTCGAAATACAAGAGAAGTTTATCCAGATGATGTCACATCACCAATAGCAAATCGTTATGATGAAGCGATTGTAAAGCGAAGGTAAAACTAAAATAATTTTTTATTATCTTATTTATATTTTAATTTATATTAAAAAAAAAAAAAAACATATCTCTATCCATATTATTTTTATTTTATAGATATGTCTTCGCTGATATTGTCGAAAGTGAACGTCAATATGTGTCTGATTTACAAAAAATTATTGAAATTTATTTATATGAATTAACACGTCAAGAATGTCCGTGGTTCATTAAAGAGAATAAAGATGTATTATTTAGCAATATTGAAGATATATTTGCATTCCATAAAGTGTAAATAGAAATATTATTTTAATATAAAACTCTTTTTCATTATTATATTCGTTTTATTTTGATAATATTCTAGATTATTCTTGACCGATTTAATTAATAGTTCAAATAATTCAGTTGAACTTGGTTATACATTTTTAAGACGTCTAGAACAATTTCAGTTATATACACAATATGTATATGATAGAACAAAATCGGATCATTTATTACAAACAAATTCAGATGTACAACAATATTTTGATGTTCGTAATGATAAAAAAAATATCTATTTTTTAAAAAATTTCTTTATGTTTGTTTGTTTTTTGTAGGATATTAGTAGAAAAATTGGTGGACGTACATTGAATGAACTTCTCAATGGCCCTATTCAACGTTTGGAAAAATATAAGATAATTTTACAAGTTTGTTAAAAAAATAAACTAATGTCTATGAAATATAAGACTCATTGATGTCATTGATTATTTTTATTTTTATTTTAGGAACTAATAAAATATACTATACGTATGAAAGAAGATGCAACGGTATTACAACAAGCATATACAATGATAACATCTATGATGAATGAAGCACGAAATAAAGAATCAATTGAATTAATTGATCAATTACCAATAAATAGTAATGAATTAGGAGAATTAAAACGTTATGATGCTGTATTAATTAAAGATGATGATGAAGTAAATCGTTTACGTGAACGATTTTTATATTTATTTCGTAATAAGATTGTTATATGTCGGCGTAAACGAGCCGAAAGTAAATTAGAACAACGATCATTGGCATATAAAAATTCTTATAATGTGAGAAGAGAATACTCGAGGGTAATATTTATTATTATGATTGTTTTATTCTTTATAGATTAATGAAATAACATTTATACAAGAAAATTTTCCTACTGATGATAAAAAATTTGAAATTACATTTAATGATAGTGAAAAAGTCACATTTCATGCTCGTAATGTTTTTGCTAAAATGTCATTAGTAAGATCATTGAGAGAAAATTTAAAATCATTAGGTATGTACTCTAATATTTGCTATTTTATTATTGCATGCATGATATAATTCATAATAATAATGTGAGAAAAAAAATATATACCCCGTTTGCCGTATATATATATTTTTTTTTTTTTGTTTTGTTGTTGCGGTGTTCGCTCAGACAAAAAAAAAGAGAAATAAATGCTTTTTGTATGGCTTTTTTATTGTTTTGAAAAAAACAAATATCTGTTAATTCAAACACATCCCATTACGCTAGATTTCTAATAGCGATAAGATGATGTAAAATATAAATGTAACTTGAGATATCTCTGTGATAGTCAACAATCGTTTCTGGAATAAATCACTATCATCACTAAATTGTTATAGTGATATAATTCAGTAACAGAAAATTTATAGTACAATTTAGTACAAAGAAACTGAAAATACTCAAGCTGATGTGTAATCAATTTGATATTGCCTTGTTTTAACACCTATTTTCCTAAAATAAAATTAGTCTCTTATTAAAATAGTAATAAAAAAGTCAAATAAAGTTAGAACAAAGGAACAGCGTTGTCAGACGCTCCCGTATACACGAACACCCCAAATATCGAACAACTATTAGACTGAGACGTGTAACTGATACTTACTTCCCTCCCCCTCAGCATTAGCATCAATTTTGAGAAAAACAATTGATTAGATAGAACAAAGTCTCGTCTTTTTTTATGATTACTCTTGCTCTCTATAATAACAGTTTTTCATGGTTTTTCTAGAAAATTTATATGAAAAACTAGGTTTTATTTTTTTACTATCACTCATTACATATTTTCGAACGATTACCATACACATATAGCTTTTGAACTATCTTGAAGCTAATAGGCACGTGCATGGACATATGCGATACATATTTTTGCATATACTATATATTTCTTCACTTTTTTATTGCATAGTTATATAATCAAGAAAACTTACCGGTGTACATGTCCATACACATCTGCGCCAGATTATTTAGAATCAATAATCTAGAGAAAGTATTGCTTCGGTGCTACAAATACCGGAATGGTTTTATTTTGTATAGGAAACCTGTGACTACAACGTCACAGTCAAATATTTTAGTTTTCCTCCACAGTGTAAGAAAAATATGGATTTTCAGGAACCATGGGAGAGATTTTTCACAGTTCTGAGATTAAATTATCAGTTTTATGAAAAAACACAAGAAATTTAAACAGAAAAACGTTTCCATGGCATTTAATCCCATGTTATCTTTACAAAATAAACCATTTCGACCTTAGTACCATCAAAGGGGAAGAAAAAAATCTTTAAATGTCAGAAATCCCACGTTGGTCCCCTATTGTTTTCATAGCTTACGTATTACATGAAATATAAGCTGTACATTATTCACAACATGTTTCAACATCCTCTGAAGTTTTATCAAGAGCTCACGGAATCTAAAGACAGAGAAAGAGGCATTTAACGAGTAAAAAAGATAGTAAGAGTAATGCAATAAAATTAATTTTTTGGCGGAATTGCCTCCATTCAAATAGTAAAATAGATGCTGTTGTTCTCATTTCATTTGCACTTTTAGATCTTCGATTTGTTTGTTTATGCATCCTTCATCATTGCATGTGGTTTTCGTTTTGTTGTGTTGAATGCGTGTAAAATTAGGGTATAATTCATCGATGTAATTAATGATACTTATTTGTATCACATAATATCGAAATATTTATATTTTCTAGGTTTTGTGGAAGAAGTGGAAATGATTGAAACAACAACAGAAAGTGATGAACAAAATATACAACGACAACAATATAAATCAGTAGGAAAAAAACGAAATGTTGATGTTTTAGAATCAGTAGACGTATGTTATATTATTTTACTCAAAATTCTAAATGAATGAATATTTAATAAATAAATTAATTTTAGTTACAATCAAAACTCTCTAGTGAACAAGAAAATGTTATTCAAAATTTATCACAAAAACGTCGAGCAAATATGACAACAAGTAGCGAAGGTTTGGTAACAACATCTGGCATATCGGATTTTTATTCAATGAGTGAAGGTGAATCGAGTTATCAAACAGCTGGTGAAGATGAATTTAAACCAAAATTTTTAAAAAAATTAAATGATGCACTTGCAACTGGTATGGTCTATCTCTTTTCTAACACAATTTCACTAATAACTTTTTGTTTTGCTTTTTCAGAAGGCGACTATGTTGTACTAGAATGTCTCGTTATAAGTACAACTCCAGTGCATGCAACATGGTTTCAAAATAATATACCATTACAAGATAATGCCGATTGTAAACAAATACAAGAAGATCGTAAATTTAATTTGATTATTAAGGTATATCTATATTTTTATGACGCGAGAATCTATATATAAACTGACTCTTGATTATTGTAATAGGAAGCATTTGTTGAAGATGGCGGTATCTATTCAATTAAAGTTTCGAATCATGCTGGTACAATTAGCTGTAGTTGTAAATTATTTGTTCGAGAAGGTAAAATTAATTATAGTAATATAAAAACTAGAGATATTTATATTTAAATTTTATATTTAAGAAATGAGTGACGAACGTACAATACGTGAAGATTTAGTGATAAGAGAAGGATCACCTCCGGAGAAAAGAGGTAATTTATATTATTTTTAAGAAAAAAAAATCTATATTTATGCATAATATTATTGTCATAGATACAACAGATAATGAAGATGAATTACGTATAACAGAAATGGCCTATGATTCAAATATATTTAAAGTGACACCGACAATTGGTCGTGGACCAATATTTATCCATTCATTAATGCCGATAATATCAAATTCTGGTGATATTGTTACATTAAAATGTACAATAACCGCTTTACCAATGCCAAATGCAACATGGTTTGTTATTTTACATTTATTTATCTTACATTATATAATAAATTTATTTTTAGGCTTAAAAATGGTGTTGAAATTCATCCTGGAGGTCGTTATTCTGTATTCAACGATCAAAATGGCAATTATTCATTAATTATTTCGGATGCTATACCAAATGATTCTGGTATTTATGAAATAGATGTTAAAAATCCATATGGTGTTGCAGTATCAAAAACTAGCTTACAAATACTTGGTAAATATATAAAAAACAACAACCAATGTTTTATTTTTATAAAATTATCAATTTTTCATTTTCATGTTTTTTTATTCTAGAACGTGAAAGTGTATTTATACCAGTAGCTGTTAATCGTGTCAATGTTCAAGATAAAGATACGGCAAAATTAAGTTTAACAGTAAAACGTCCCGATGTTAAAGTTGAATGGATCAAAGGTGAACATATATTAAGTGAAAAAGATAAATTAAATAAATATAAAATAACTAGTGAGGGTTTACAACGAGAATTAATTGTTAAAAATGTAACAAAAGATGATCAAGGTGATTATGTTTGTCAATCGGGAAAATATCGTGTTACATTACATTTAAATGTACGTGGACCGGGTGCTGAAATTGTTCGACCATTAGAAAATATTGAAGTTATTGAAAATAATGAAGCAATATTTGAATGTCAATTAACACTTGAAGATGCACAAATTGAATGGTATCATAATAATCAACGTTTAACAAATTCAGATCATCATATAATAGCATCACGTGGTACAACACATCAATTAATTATTCCACATGTTAATATGAACGATGATGGTGAATATTCAATTAGAGTTGATAATAAAAATACATCAACTGGACAGTTATATGTCAAAGGTATATGAAATATTATTGGAAAATCATTTTGATCTGTTACATCATTATTAATGTGTCTTTTTGTTTAGAACAACCAATTATATTTCGACGCCCATTACGTCCACAAACTGTTGAAGAAGGAAACGATATTATATTTGAATGTGAATTAAATAAACCGTTAAAACAAATGTTATGGTTTAAATCGAATACTATACATTTATTACCGTCAGATAAATATTTTATAGAATCATTTGGTCTAATTCATCGTTTGATTATACGTAATGTAAATCAATATGATGAAGGTGATTATATGGCATCAACCGGTTTAAATACATCAACAGCACATTTGTCTGTAGAAAATTTATTACCAATATTTGTTGTACCATTAATGGATGCAAGAGCGAATGTACATGAGGGTGTTAAATTATCATGTGAAACGAGCGCACCAGCAAATGTTGTTTGGTATCATCGTGATAAAAAAATATTAGATAATAATCCAAAATATACATTAAGTATGTTATTTTTATTTTCATATTTATTTCATATTTTATTTGAATTACTTTTCTAGGCAATATACATGGTGGTATATTGCATACACTTGATATTGACAATCTTGATCAACGAGATCAAGGCGAAGTAGTTTGTAAAATACGAGAGTATCCGACAATAGCAACAAGTGCTCAATTATTAGTTGAAGATTCTGATCAACAATGTAAATAACTAAAAATTTCTTGTATATTGTTTGAACTTTTGAAATTATATGTTCTTTTCATTCTAGCCATGTTCTCTACTCCATTAAAACCGTTTATGGAAATAGTTCGTGGACAAGATGCAGTATTAAACTGTGAATCAATCAATTCAACCCATTTTCAATGGTTTAAAGATGGTACACCACTAGCTGGTCTTAACAGAAATAAATTTGTGTCGATGAGTGATGATAAACACACAACGCTCGTAGTACATCATTTCACTGAGCAAGATGAAGGTAAGAGTAAAAATTAAGTTTTTTTTTGCTCATGCACATTTTTAATTTAGGTGTTTACACGTGTGTAACAAGAGAAGGTCAATCAACATCTACAACATTACGTACATTAATACATCGTGAACGAACACCGAGAAGTGAAGAAAGATATGGTACTTACATGAAAATTGATTCACCTCGTACACGAACACCGGATCTTGGACTAACACGATCAAGTCTTAGTCCAGGTGGACATCGCGTATCACGCTATGTACCATCGATTAGTGACGATGATTCACGCTATCCGGATCGATTCGAAGAAACAAAACGAACAAAGAAAATTACCATACAAGAAACCAGTGAACAACGAATACCAGCAATGAAAACCAGTACGTATTGTGTATTATTTTCTAAAATTTTACTTTATATTTTTGTTCTATTTTAGGTTCAGTCACATTTCGTCCGAGTTCAAGTCCATCTCCATCTCGTGATTATTCTGGTCGTTCGTCTGGTACAAGTCCAGAAAAAGAACGTTCATTACCAAGACATTTTTCACCATCAGCTACTACGTATACAAGACAACAACAATTACAAGATTTTGGTCATTATTTACAACATGATCGTCGTTCTGAATCACCTAGTCTATCACCATCTCCGACACGAAAAACTAATATGACATTTGCAAATATGAATGTAGCAAAATTAAGCATGCCACCGGTGTATGAAGAGTTAGATGAACAACAACGACATCGTTCAACAGTTACATTCAGTCCGTCTCGATCACCCAGACGTACACCATCACGCGAATCGATTGAACGGAAAATGGTCATGATGGAAATACCGATTCGGTAAGTAATACGATATATGCATGAGAAAAAATGTTTTTTTACGATATATGATATATTTAGACAATCACCACGTCGCGATTTAAAACATGCTCCATATCAAGAAGAATCAATTGCTGAAGAACATGTACAATTTTTAGATAGTGAAGCATACGAAAAACAAACACCATTTTTTCAACGTGAAGAACCATCGGGTTTAAGTACATCACGAGTCAATGTTACCGAACCATTACCCGTTCATATCATACAACCATTAGTTGATACAAAAGTTGATCAAGGTAAACCGTTGCGTTTAGTTGTTGAAACCTCACATCCATCAACCGAAGCGTCATGGTTTAAAACAAATTCGTATACACAACAATCAGTAGCCAAAAAACTTGATGAAAGTGATAAATATCATATGATAACTCAAGGTAGTCGACATATATTAATTATACCAAATGTAACGTCAAAAGACAGCGGTGATTATGTATGTCGAATACAAAATTTGATAACAAAAGCTCATGTTCAAGTCAATGATGAAGATTTACAATTTACAAAACGTTTACCACAATCGATTGATGTTATCGGTGGCCGTGATATTGTAATTGAGTGTGAAATGAATAAATACGATACACAAGCTTTGTGGAAGAAAGATAATGAACCAGTTAAGGTAAGAATTTCAAAAAATCAACTACATTTTTCTTTATTTATCTTGTATTTTAGAATTTATCAAAATTTGTACCGATATTTGAAAACAAGAAGCATAAACTAATTATCAAAGATGCCGCAGTAGAAGACTCAGGTTTATACACGGTTAATGTTAACGAATTAGAAAGTACAACGTATTTAAATGTCACACAAGAACCACTCCTAATTTTAAAACCATTACATGATCAACGTGCAAAATTAGGTGATAATGTAATATTTAGCTGTGTTTGCTCAAAAGCGCCTAAAACAATTCAGTGGTATATAAATGGTTATCCATTACCATTAAATGTTTACGATAAGTATCTGACAAAATTAATTGATCGAGAAATTCAATTAATTATCAATAATATAAGCGAAAATGATATTGGTACTGTGACGTGTTGTTTAAATAATACAATAACAACTGCTAATTTAACAATTGATGATGCCGATAAAAGTTTAAAATTTATAAAATTATTAGATGATGATGATACAAATATTAATGTTGGATCACCATTTGTTCTTGAATGTCGCATTAATCGTCCCAATGTAACAAGTAAATGGTACAAAGATGGAAAACCCATTTCAGATCAAGACAAAACAATGAAAACGATTTCAGATGGATGTACACATGTTTTACAAGTGCGTCAATTTTTTTTTTTTTAGTTTATTCAGTAAAACTTGATTTCTGCATATATTCTATTAGGTTGATCATGCTCAAGAACAACATACGGGTCATTATCGTTGTTCAATACAAGATAAAGAAACAACATGTCATATTACTGTACATGAGCCGGATTATCGTTTTGTACAATCATTACCACCACATGTTCATTATTCTCCTAATGAAGAAACAATTACCTTAGATTGTGCAATAAATCGTTCACCCACTTTACCGAATCGTGTCAAATGGTTTAAAAATGGTCTTGAAATAAAACCATCGTCAAAATACGAAACTATTATTGAACATCATTTATTAGCACTTGTTATACATGATTTAAATATAGATGATCAAGCACTATATCGTTGTGAAATTGGAAATGCTAGTACCGAATGTCAATTAATACCAACATTAAACGATACAAAAGATATTTTATTACAACCATTACAAGATGTTGATCTATATGAACATGATACATGTACGCTAACAGTTAAATTTTTACCAGAACAAATTAAAAATATTCCACAAATAAAATGGTATCGTAATGGTCAAGAAATAAAATCGAGACAAGATAAATATCGTTTTATTCAACATGGTAATGAGAATACATTAGTTATTAATAATTGTTTATTAAATCAAGATAATGGTTATTATAGTGTTCGATTAAGTTCAAATAATAAACAAGATTTATCAACATGCTATGTTAATGTTAAAGATTTATATATTAATATTATTAAACCTCTTGAATCACAACGTTGTCTATTACATCCACAAGTTCAACAACAAATTCAATTTGATTGTGAAACAACACCAACTGATAAAAGTCCTGTATGGTATTTTAATAATTCTAAATTAATACAACCATCCAATAAATATGAAATGACAGACGATAATAGACATCATATACTTACTATTAATAATATAACATTAAGTGATCAAGGACAATATCATATTGAATTTCCAAATAGTGATCAAAAATCTTATGCTACCTTACAAATACTACAAACACCAAATATACAACCAATTGAATTTATACAACCATTAGATGAAACATTTTTATGTGAAGAAGGTGATGATTTTACATTGGTAACAAAAACAAATAAACCAACAGTAAATGTCAGTTGGATGAAAAATGGTTATAAATTAATTAAAACACCTGATACACAACAAACAGATAAAACAGGTACAATACATAAACTTATAATAAAAAAAAGTCACAAACAAGATGATGAAGGCACTTATGTTTGTTATATTGATACGACAAATGTTGCTACTCAAGGTTTTGTAAAAATAATTGAAAAAGAATTACAAATAATACAACCATTACCACAACAACTGAATTTAAATGAAAATGATACACTAACATTATTATGTGAAACAAATCGTAAACCAAAAAATGTAAGATGGTTAAAAAATAATAGTCAAATATTAGATAATACAACAAATCCAAATTTAATGTTGATTGCGGCTGATGAAACATGTACTATGATAATAAATAATGTAACAAAGAATGATAGTGGCTCATATACGTGTCAAGTAGAAGATAAACAGTCAATATGTGATGTACGAGTACAAGAAGCAGGACCACAATTTGTTGATGGACCACAATCATATCTTGTTTGGAAACGAAAAGAAGATGGATCTGTGGCAACAATAAGTTGTACATTGAATAAATCGAATGTACCTGTTAAATGGTTTAGAGAAAATCAGGAAATATTTACAAGTGATAAATATGAAGTGGTTTCAGAAGGAACAATACAATGTTTATTAATACATGATATTGATAAAAATGATTCGGGAAAATATGTAATATCGTTAGGACCTATTTATCGATCATGTCATTTAGAAGTTATCGATGATAAAACAACAATGGAAAATGAAGAAGAGAGACTGATGAAACCATTAGTACAAATTCAACGACAAGAAGTTATGGAAGGTAAAATATATTTTTAAGATATATTTAACTCTACTATCATAATGTTTTTTGTTAATTTATTAAGGTGATTCATTAACAATTGAAGTGACACCCGATTCTACTCGTCCAATTACAATTGATCAACTTCAATTAATGAAAAATAATCGTCCAATCGATGATTATTCTCATATAAGTTTAGAACGTGATGGTACACGATGGCTTGTGCGTTTAATCGACGTTGATTTATCAAATACGGGCTTATATTCAATTGCGATGGATCAACAACGTCAAGATTTAATTGATTTATATGTTAAGAAACGCCCTATACAACGACAATTGATACAATTACCAAAAGAAGAATTTTTTGTTAATGAAACCATAACACTCGAATGTAATTTTCAGAAACCAATAAAAACAAAATCATTGAAACCAACATGGTTTAAAAACGGTCGTCCAATACAGTCAACAAATCGACATGTTGTAACAGTTGATAATATGACGAATGATGGTCCAACAAAATATTCATTAACAATAAAAAATGTAGATTATACAGATGAAGGCATCTATGAGTTACGTACCGACTATCTAATTGTTGAAACACCTCTAATACGAATCGTCGAAAAACCTAAACTACCTGCACCAAATCGAACGGTAATTGAAGGTGATAGTTTACAAATTGATGTTAATATTGATCGTGCAGACCATCAGAATGAATCAGTTCAAACATTACTTGAAGAAATAACGTTACTAAAAAATAATCGACCAATTACAACAAAACCACAAATAGAAAAATGGCATGAAAATGATCAACTAAAATTAGAATTGAAAAGTTTACAATTAGATGATCATGGTCTATATGAAATTGATATTCATGGCGAACGTACGCCCGTATGTCAGTTAGAAGTGAAACAACGTGAACCAGAATTATTTATACTCGATCTTGATAAGAATACATTTGAAGAGGGTGAAACAATTCGATTAGCATGTACTTTTCCCCAACGACCCGGGCAGTTTGCCACATGGTTAAAAGACGGTATGCCAATTGTTACACCTCCAATGGATTCGATAACAAAAACAAAAAGAATTGAAATATTAGATGAAAATAATACATTGACTATTATTATACGTAATGCGACGAAAAGTGATTCGGGAATATACGAAGTACGAATCGGATCGGTTATTGCACGTGCCCCAATGATACATGTAGTACCAAAACAACAACAAGAAATACAAAATATTCCAATACAAGTTGTACGAGAAAATGATACTGTTACGTTATCTGTTGAGGGTTTACAAGTCAATGTGAGACCAAGTGATATTCAAGTACTAAAAAATGGCAAACCAATGAATCAAAAACCAAAAGTAAATTAAATTAGATTTCGAAAGAAACTTAAATTAAATATACTTATAATCAAAATACTCATTTTGTGTTTTTTAGACGACAATCAAACATGATAACGATAAATTGCGTATTGCACTTCAAACATTAGCACTAGATGATAGTGGTGTCTATAGTGTAAAGATTCACGATAACATTCATCCATTAGCTCAAATACAAGTTGAGAAACGTAAACCAGAAATTCAGTATATGCGACTGGACCAAGACACATTTTATGTCGGAGATACAGTTACATTAGATTTAGAATTTACTCATGAACCTCAACAAGCGCCAACATGGTCGAAAGATAATGTAGAATTGAGCGAAGATAATCGTATTTCAATGAAAACAAATGGAAATAAAGTAACATTAATTGTGAGAGATTTGCAATTAAATGATGCTGGTAAGTTTAGAATGGTTAATAAAGTAATTCTTTATATGATTTTTTAATTATTTTTAGGCGTTTATGAGGTACAAAGTGGTCCACTAATTGTGAAAACACCATATATTAGCGTTGTTGAACGACCAAAGACTGTAGTGGAAACTGTTGAAGAAACAACAGTTTATACTATAAAACCAAATCAACCGCAGCAACCAGCAGGTTAGAAAATTTTAAGAAATATTAAAAATAAATTATTTTACTAACAGGATACTTCACAGAAGTAAGAAGATCCCAGTAAACAAACAACTATAATGTATATATATGTATATGGCTTGAGATTTTGTGTGGACGTAGCAAGCTGATCAGCAGATATATGTTTACTCGTCTAGTTGAATGGTTTCTGGTATATACTAGAAAGCAGTTAGATCCAAAAGGATAAATACTTTATGTTTACATCAAAATGGAGTAGTGACTCTTTTATTCCTTAGAAAATCATGATTCTTTTACAATCGACAGCTATTTTCAGTATTTCAGTCATTTTCAAAAAAAATATCTATACCGTGGTCCAAAACATCATTTTGACATTCAATCTTCAGAAAACATTGTCCGTCAGTGATCAATCGAGCTTGAAGAGTCAACAGTTTCTCATATGTACATGAACTGTACTTTATACTGTTACAAAAAATATTGAGTTATAGCTGCACTATTACGTTTTCAATTGATTACATATCAATTCTTTTGTATAGTTTCACCTTCTGATAAAAAAGTGTGCACAGTAAAAGAAGGCGATAGTGTTACGTTGAAAATTATATCAACTTCACCAATCTCAGCAAACGACGTACAATTGTTAAAAAATGGTCAACCAACATTTGCGGATAATAAACATTTACGTCTCGAACAATTTGGTGGAAAAGATGTTCGATTGAGTATAATAGATGCTCAATTAAGCGACACGGGTGATTACGCTGCTGTAATTAACAATCAATATCAACCTATAATCACACTAAATGTTTTACCAGTCGCACCTTTCTCAACACAACCAACTTCAAGCGTTCTATCGCAACAAGAATCAGTTGTATCGACGACAAGTTACAGTCAATCACCACCAGAGGAACCTCTTAAAATGAAACTGGTTCATGAAGGTAAGTCAGTATGTCAATCAAATACTAAGATATATATCATATCTTAAAATTTCAGGTGATACAGTAACATTTGAATTAACGCCAAGCTTCGATGTACCATTAAATAAAATCGAACTTTTACATAACAACAATGTAATAACACATGAACCAACTGTTAATCTGAAAAAAGATTATAAAACAAATTTGATTACTGTACAATTGCAAGATATAGAACTACAAGATCAGGGAATATATACAGCAGTAATACAAGGTATAAAACACTCTATTGAATGATTGAATATTTAAGCGAGCTATCCCAGTTCGTGGAGACAGACAAATGAACACTAAATCCGGAGAATTTCGGACAATAAATTTTGATAGAGATCTTTCTATGAAATTATTACAAATTGTATACCAGTATATATACCTGTCGAGTCTCATATGATAAGCACAAATATTCTCTGTTATATTTCAGGACAGCCAGTACCATTAGCCGAATTGATAGTAGAACCTCGTCCAGTCGTGATTCAACGGATGGAGATGCCGCGAGACGTGTTCTTTGTTAATGAGCAGCTTATGTTAGAAGCCGAATTCCCAAAAGCACCAAAGGACCAACCTCAGTGTATGTATATATTTAATAATCATTTTTACAAATATTTCTGTTATTTCTTTTTGATTCTTTAAAGGGTTTAAAAATGGACAATTAGTCAAGCCAGATAATCATCATGTTATACTAAACGAAAATGGTAACAAAAAACATTCACTTATTATTAATCAATTGAAACCTGATGATACCGGTTCGTATGAATTACGAGTGAAAGGATTAGTAATTGAAACACCGTTAATAAAAGTTGTTGAACGACCACAAGAACAACAGCCGATAGAACCACAACGACGATCAAGTACAGTTATTATCGAAGAAGTTATAGAAGAATATGGGATACGAAAACTAAATGAACGTAAGTTAAATTATTTTTTCAATTCCTTAATGGGTCTAGCATTGTTTGTTTATTTTTTCAGCCACAACAGAGGCCACACAAACTGTTCGCGAAGGTGATTCAGTTAAGTTAAAAGTACTTACTACTCTTGATGTACAACCAAATCAGATTCGTTTACTTCGAGATGGTTTACCAATGGAACCAAATACAAAATCATCAATTAATATTGATCGTCAATCATCCGGAACATATGTTGTGAGTTTATTAAATTTACGCGTAACTGATTCAGGTCGATACGAATATCAAGTCGATTCAAAAGCAACAACAGAAAAAAAACATCTTGTTACACTTTATGTTGAACCACGTCCACAACCGAAAACAAAATTACTCGACCTTTCACGTGATACATTTCATGTAGGAGAGAAAGTACAATTTACAATTGATTTTGATGATGATACACTGATGAATGATATTCAACCAGAATGGTATAGAAACGAAGTATTTATACCATTTGATAATATACGTCATCGGCAAACATTCGATGTAAAAAATCGAAAATATACTTTTGAAATACACGATTTACAATTAGCGGATGCTGGAGCTTATGAAATGCGTACGCCAAATTTAGTTGTCCGAACACCTGAAATCAAAATAATTCCACACATGACAAGACCTTCAGATGAGCAATCAATAAAACAAGAAGAGGAATTAAGACGCTCCTCCGTAACAATAGATATGAATAAACAAAAAGAAATACCGTTGTAAGTTGATGATTTTTAGTATTAAACAAACTGTTGATCTGTTCCTTGATTCATTCTACTTTTTTTAGAGAAACACAACCTCAACAACAACCGCAGCAGAAAACTCCGGTGCATATTGTTACAGAAGGAGATGTAATGAATTTAACAGTTGAAAAACAAGCTAACGTTGCTCTGAAGGATGTACAGTTAATAAAAGACAATGTTCCAATATTGAAGCGTGCAAATATTATAGTAAATCCCACTTCATCAACAACAATCGACATAACATTTAAACCTGTCGAACTCAACGATAGTGGTCAGTATTCTATTAAAATACGCGATCGAATTCAACCAATTATGACACTTCAAGTTCAAAATAAACCAGTTCGCCGCCAAACGATGGAGCTCCCGAAAGATACTTTCACCGCTGGTGAAACGCTTACAATAGAATGCAAATTTGACTCAAAACCAGATGACCAATTCACCTGGACAAAAGATAACATACCACTCAAACAAATTCCTGATGTACGTATAGTCACAAAACAAAAAGACGAGACATTCACATTGATCATCAAAGACCTTCAGCCAAACGATGAAGGTGTTTACTCACTTGAAAGCAAATATCTTATTCTCGACACACCATTCATTCATATTCTGCCAAAAGAAGAAACAGTCGTTTCGTTCCCTCCAACGCAAACAGAAACTTATGAAGAAGTTGTTGAAACATATGTTATCGATGCTCAACCTACGCAGCAAGAGCCCGTTATAACCGAAAACCAAAAACCACAACTTCAAGAAAAACCCATCGAATCACCTAAAGACGTTCCGATCCATGAGGTAAACGAAAATGACACCGTGACGTTGACTGTTGATCATCCTGAAGGCAAAGATGTTGTTGTCACTTTATTGAAAGACGGTAAGAAATTAGAGCAAAACGATCATATCAAAATCAAATCAAAATCACCGACAACCACTGAGATAAAGATAATAAAGTCTAAGCCGCTCAGTGACGAGGGCGAATATTCTGTTATTATTAATAAGACTGTGCAACCATTGATGCGTCTCATTGTTCATCCAAAACCAGTACAACATCAAATCATGGACTTGCCCAAGACAGATTTTATTGAGTCAGAAACATTGACGATTGAATGTACATTTGATCGAAAACCAGATGAACCATTTGTATTTTTGAAAGATAACCAGCCATTGTTAGCTACCGATAATCGTATCACGACAATTATTGATGATAATACAAACACCTACAAGATTGTTGTAAAAGATTTGAAACCAACAGATGAAGGCGTTTATACATTGAAAAGTGAACATTTGATATTGGATACACCGCATATTCATGTATTACCAGCATCAGTTGAAAAACGTCCGTCTACTACGAAGGAAACAATTGTGGTTGAAGAAGAAACTGAAGAAATTATTATTGAACCAACAGATGAAATCAAAATAGAGCAAGAAATTGTTCAGCAAGTAAGAGAAAGATCAATTGATTGTGTGTGATCCTTCTGCCGAAAATAATTTTTTCCCTAGTATCTGTATCCATTGACCAACTGATGTTTTGCATTAGTTCAGGACGAGCCATGAACGTTCTTAGTTCATATTATCGACACTAAGAGCGTAAGTCGAAACTTATACTGAGAATAATTGCGGTGAGGGTATTAGTAGTCAAATTTCAATTTAATTTATTTATGTCAGTAAACAAGCCTTTCGAAAACTCATATTGGAGTCAGTAAATAAACATTTCTAATAAGATGACGAACATTTCTACCGTGAAATTCCAACCAATAATCGCCCATTCTCTTTGTTGATAAATGATTACTCTTATTAACGTCTCATCTGTCTTCCTTTCAGCCTCAGCCGCAAGAGTTCGAACAAGTGGTCGAGAAACCTGTTGAACAAAAGCCTGTTGAAGAGAAGCCTGTTGAAGAAAAGCCAGTGGAAGAAAAGCCTATTGAACAAAAACCTGTTGAACAAAAGCCGATTGAAGAAAAGCCAGTGGAAGAAAAGGTGGTTGAAGAGAAACCTGAACAAGTCGTCGAGAAGCCTATTGAAGAGAAGCCTGTTGAACAGAAGCCAGTTGAAGAAAAGCCGATTGAACAAAAACCTGTCGAAGAAAAGGTGGTTGAAGAAAAGCCAGTGGAAGAAAAGCCTGTTGAACAAAAGCCTGTTGAAGAAAAGCCCGTGGAAGAAAAGGTGGTTGAAGAGAAACCTGAACAAGTCGTCAAGAAGCCTGTTGAACAAAAGCCGATTGAAGAAAAGCCCGTGGAAGAAAAGGTGGTTGAAGAGAAAACGGAACAAGTCGTCGAGAAGCCTGTTGAAGAAAAGCCAGTTGAAGAGAAGGTGGTTGAGGAGAAGGTGGTTGAAGAGAAACCAGAACAAGTCGTGGAGAAGCCTGTTGAAGAAAAGCCAGTTGAAGAGAAGCCGGTTGAACAGAAGCCGGTTGAAGAAAAGCCAGTGGAAGAAAAGGTGGTTGAAGAGAAACCGGAACAAGTCGTCGAGAAGCCTGTTGAAGAGAAGCCTGTTGAACAGAAGCCTGTTGAAGAAAAGGTGGTTGAAGAAAAGGTGGTTGAAGAAAAGCCAGTTGAAGAGAAGCCGGTGGAACAGAAGCCTGTTGAAGAAAAGGTGGTTGAAGAAAAGGTGGTTGAAGAAAAGCCAGTTGAAGAGAAGCCGGTGGAACAGAAGCCTGTTGAAGAAAAGGTGGTTGAAGAGAAGCGTGTTGAAGAAAAGGTGGTTGAAGAAGAAAGTGAAACTGTTGAACAAGTAGGTGATTCAAGCTTTTTGTGTTTTGCTTTTATTACTTGCTATACGCTTGTATGCAACGCTCTGTGTTTGATGCGCTATTTGCAAATATGCGAAGAAAAACTTTTCTTCTACAGTGTGTGTGTTGAGTGTCGAATGTAGTTATGTAACATTGAACGAGTATAGTGCGTGAGATAATTTTTTCATGTTCGTCTAAGGTGTGGACGAGTACGGAATGCTGACGTGGAGAATTTTGCGCATCAAGTATGGGCAGAATTTGAAGAGATATTGTAAACAAGTCCATACAGCGTGCGCTCGAATAATGTTTTGGCGTGTTCTTCCGTGTGCTCGCTCTATCAATCAGATCTTGCTCACGAAATGTGTAGAATAGTGAGAGACTGACGAATTCATAATACAGTGGCGAGATCTCACTTTAAGTGAATTGAAAGAATATTAAAAGATAAGCGATAGTAGTTAAGTAGAGAAAGTTTCGCTGATATCCGCGTCAGAAGAGTTTGGATGCGAAATAGAAATAGAACGTTTGCAAGCGAATATTACTCCTGTTGATGAAGTTTTAAAAATTCGCGTTCATTGTAAACTTTTCCGCTAATTAATGGTATTAGTACTCACGCATATAGATTGAGAGAAAAAGACTAGTTTCTACGCCAGGAGTGTGCAATATATCCAGTTTGAAAATTTTACTTTTAATTTGAAGGCGCGGGTGAGGAAAAGCTATCGAGTGATATAAGATACATTCATGCTTCACTCTGATTTAGAAAAAAATTCTATTTTTGAAGGGTAATTTTTAAAAGAACATTTTAGTAGTAATTTTAACTTTTCTCCGTAACGGCAGCAGTTAAGACTTGAAACTTTCAGTGTATCTGAAATTCTTGAATGAACAAGAACTTTATAGTATGAAAGATAGTTCTTTAGTTATTTTAGGTTTTTTCGAAATTTTGGATCAATAAGCACACGAAAAAGAAGTGTCTCGACTGAGAATTGAACCTTCGATATCGGTTAAAAAGGTCAATCCTCTAATCACTGAGTGTTCACTGTTTATCGAAATTTAGCCGCTAAAAACCTATGTTTCTTAGCTTTCAGTGTATGTCATCAGATATAGCTCGAACTAATAGAAAATATGTTGTGACATTTAGTGCGGAAAACTGACGTGCAGTAAAGAAAAGTTTTAATTATTCCTTCACTTTCAATTCATTCTGAAATTTTTTATCAGTTTAGTGTTGTATTAACGGTCTATCATCTGGCAAAAGTTAATAAAGATTGGAAATTGTTTTTACTGAGAAACGAGAAGAGCAAAGCGTGACGTGATAGCTTTGGTGCTTTTCGTGTTCACGTATTATTTTGAAATTTTTCCTGGTCAGAGAAAAGAACTCATTATATCAGATTACACGGTTTTGAAGTCCAAGATCTAAACTGCAAACTGACAGAAACTAATATGTAAAGATGCTTTTAAAAAAATAGCGAATTTCGTTGCCGTTAGTCGAAGTGAAAACTTCAAATTTTGCTTGAAAAGTGACATTATTTTTAAAATCTCGAGATTCCGAATAGCTGATAAGCCGATTTTATCGACAAGTGAACCATGAGTATGAACAGTATACTCGTGAAAACCAACAAATTTGATTTCAGAAATATATGAGATGCATGCGAGAATATCTTTTTCTGCGATACAACTCGCTTGCAAACGTCCCAAATACACATGTGCTTATTGGTTAGAACTAAATAATCGCATTCCTCAGCGAAAACTACATGTGATTCGCGAATATTAGCTTCGATAAATCTTTGCAATCTACGTAGATCTGTGATTCATTGTTCCAGGAAGAGAGAGGAGGATCGAAAACGATACCATAATGAAGTGTAATACAAACACGGTCTTCCCATATTACACTACAGAAATTTTGAGATGCAGTTATCAAGAAAACAATTTCTTTTTATATTACAGTCAAAATAATGACTTCTAAACAAATATATACTTTAGTTATTATCACTACTCAATATATATAATCGTGAATCCTTGACTTACTTAAAAACCTCTATCCATAATCCGTTTTCATCAATTTCTCATGCATTCAAGATCAATAACATACCGTGTGTCAGAAACCTGCATTAACCGACAATCCTTTTATTGTTCAACAAAATTTGTCTTGTGCACACGTCAAAATCTCATCATATTTTCTCTGTCATATAAAATGCAACTCAGTACATTGTTTTCAGTCTCAACAAGAACAAACCATCGAAACACAAACACTACAACTCGAAGAAACACCCATCGAATCACCTAAAGACGTTCCGATCCATGAGGTAAACGAAAATGACACCGTGACGTTGACTGTTGATCATCCTGAAGGCAAAGATGTTGTTGTCACTTTATTGAAAGACGGTAAGAAATTA